TAGCCCTTGCGGCTTACGCGTGTCTGCTTTCGCCCTACGGTATACTACGTAGTTCTTAACGAATCGGTCGACGTCTCGGTATAGATTAGGCTAGTAGTACTACTTCCGGAGCTAAGACAATATCTTAGCTCGACTAAGATATACTATTCCGAGAGGGTTGTAAGCAGAACGTATAATCTAGTCGCGTAAATCTTCGAAGTCCGGGACGTAGAGGGTATTTCTAAATATTGTACGGGGTACTCGCGGTAGAGTTCTACGGAGCTCGTACTCCGAGAGAGAAACGTTCTCGTATAACCGCTCCTCGTTCTATAAAGCTTAAATTAGACCTTTAGTAAAAGCGTCTTCGGCGTATACTATCGTAAGCTACTATTCGAGCTAAGTAGGTTCGAGGAGGTCCTATACTTCCTCTTCGCTTTCCTAGTCGCTATCTAAGCTTTCTAAACTCGTATCTTCGTCGTCTAAGCTATCGTCGTCTCCGAGAAAGGTAGGAGCGGCTATTAGTATAAAGGATGCTACGAGAGGCTCTAGGCTAGTAAAGTCGCCTCCGAGGAGCTCGTATAGTTCCTAGCTAAGGTTATACTCCTTAAGGATAGACTGTTCTTTACGCTACGGACCTCGATCTAAAGGCGAGTCTCTGTTACGCCTCGTAAGTACGTCGGCCTATAAGTTTACTTTACCGGGCGTATACTAAATAACGAAGTTAAACCGGGAAAGAAACTTACTCTAGCGTACCTGCCTACGGCTAAGGATTTTGCTCTTAAGAAAGTAGATAAGGTTCTTATAATCCGAGCTAACCTAGATCGGTAACTTAGAACCTTCGAGTTCCGGACGCTATTCTTCGAAAGCCTTAACGATTGCGAGGAGCTCCTTATCGTAGATATCGTAATTGTATTCCGCGGAGGACATTTTCTTAGAGAGGTAGGCTACGGGCAGCTACGTATCTTCCGGGGTCGTTCGTTAAAGGAGAACAGCGCTAGTTATACCGTCGGAAGTATCGGTTTCTAGGCGCGTTTCTTTATTAAAGTCGAAGTACTATAGGATCGGTACGGTCGTAAAACTTTGCTATAACTAGTCGAAGGCTTCTTAATAGGCCGGTAACTATTCAAATTTGACGTCTTTCCGCGTAAGTGCTATAAGTAGACGGGCGATTCCGCTAAAATTCCGTATAAATCTCCGGTAGAAGTTAGCAAAACCGAGGAAGCCCTAGACTTCTTTTACGTTTCGTAGTACTCCCTAGTTTAGAACGGCTTCGATCTTGCTAGGATCTATTCGAATATCTTCTAAAGAGACAATAAGGCCGAGGAATTTTACCTCTTACTTATAGAATTCGCACTTATCGATATCGATATATAGTCCGGCTTCTACGAGTTTCTTAAGTACCTTTTCGATATATTCGTAGTATTCCGCTTTCGTTTTACTATAAATTAGGATGTCGTCTATATACGCCGAGACGAAGGCGTCTAGGAATTCTTTAAGCGTATCGTTAATATATAATTAGAACGTACTAGGTCCGTTATAGAGCCCGAACGGCAAGACTAGGTATTCAAAAAGGCCGTAACGGGTTCGGAAGGCTATTAACTATTCGTCTCCCTCGGCAATATAGATCGCGTTAAAGGCGGCGATTACGTCGAGCTTAGTAAACTAGCGAGCCTTTGAAAGGCGTTCGAGCGTTTCGTTTACGAGAGGGATTAGGTAGCGGTTCTTTTTCGTTAACGCGTTAAGGCCCCGGTAGTCTACGTAGAAACGGAGACCTCCGCCGGGTTTCCGGGCAAATATAACTAGTACGGCTACTTCGGAGGAACTAGGGCGGATAAAGCCTTTTTATAGGTTGTCTTCTAGGTATTTCTTTAGTACGAGGAGCTTATCTCGAGATATCGAGTAGAGAGGGCCGTACGGCGGCGGCTTGCCGTCGATTAGCTCGATTTTATAGTCGATACCTAGCCGGTACGGTAGTAGGATATCGGCGTTCTTCTTCGAAAACTAGTAGAGTCGGTGCTAATACTCCTTCGGTAGTTTCGTTCTTAGATCCGTTAGTTCTTCGTCGAACTTTCGGATAGCCTTCTCGATATCCTATATTATTATAGCGAAGATCTAAGTGCGTTTATCGCGGGCAAGACGCGAGAAGGCAGCCGCGCTAATAGCGAATATAGTACGATCTCGGGGAGTATCGGAGGTAGAACTAGATTCGTTAAAGTAGTACTTAGCGTAATGCTTACTCGTAAAGGATAGAGATTCGGAGGCCTAATCGATAACCGGGTTGTACTTTTTAAGCTAAGGAAGACTAAGAATAACGGGGTAAGTCTTCGGGAGTTTCGTAAGGAAAAACATAATATATTCGGTATACGGGCCGATAGTAATAGATAAGTAGTAGATCTAGGTTACCTTGCTAGCGGCCGTAGTCGTACCGTTAAACATTTCTAACTCCCGAGCGTACGTAAGGTCTTAGAACGTTAAGCCGAGCTCTCTCGTATAGTCGTAATCTATAAACGAGTAGCCGGTTGCGCCGTTGTTAATAAGAGCTATAGTTTTTAATAATTTCTTTTAATTTCCTATTAACGTTTCTACTACGAAAGGCTAGTAGACTAACTCTTTCTCTATAGCCGAGCTAGAGAAAGGGAAGGTAGCAGTAGATACTCTTAGTTTTAGAACGAATAAACCTTATAAGCGACTATATATAAGGTTCAAGCTTTTCCCTAGCCGCTCGGAGTAGCGCTAGCCGGTAAAGGCGTATCTAGAGTCGTAATATTCGCGGCGGCGACTCGCTATATCGTTAGCGTATTTAGCCGGCCGACGAGAGACGGGTAGAGGCGAGTAATATATCCTTTTACTCCGTAGTAGATATATTCTCCTATCGTACGGCGACGCTACTTCTCTTCTTCCGAAAGCTTACTATTTACTAGGGGCGCGCGTAGACGGGCGCCGAGCGAGGCAGCGCTTAAATCTATCGGATCGGCGGCAGGCTAGGCGCCTAGCGGTATTAGGGCTATAGCCGGAGCTAGTGCTAAAGCCGGCGTCTAAGCTGTCTATAACTTCGACGGTAGCGTAGCGAACAGCGACGTAAAGCGACCGGTATTCGTATAGGCGCCTCCGCGGTTAGCGATAATTTTCGCGAAGTTTCGAGTCGTATTATCGATACGCGTAAGCAAGGCGTATAGTTCGGTAATGTTTAGATTCTCTATATTCTTATCGCGGACTTATAGTATTATTTCTTCGCTAAGGCCGCGTACTAAGATCTACTTAGCGACGTCCGGGGGGTATTCGGCGTACCTAATCTTATATTAGAAGGCGGTATAGTACTCTTAGTAGGTCTTATTTGCTTGCTTAAGTTTGTCTAAGTTTAGGCGCGTAGTTTGCTTACGGTCGGGGTCGCCGAAACTAGCGTCGAGGGCCTTCTAGATAGTAGCTGTTATAGTTGTTTCTACATTTTCTAAGAGGCTGCGGTAGGAATCGAGGGCGGAGCTACTAAGCAGAGAAAATATAAATCCGGTCTTTAAAGCTTTAGTCGGATAGTAGTCGGCGTTAGCGAGAAAGCGGATCTTAACCTATATCTTAAATTCTTCGTACACTTTACACTTACCGGTAAAGCGTTCGGGGTCGCTTAGCTTCTTACTCTTATTTAAAGTAGGTATAAATAGGTAAGAAGCGGGTACCGCGGCGCCTAGGCGAGTAGAGGCGAGCTACGACTAGAGACGGCCTACCTCGTCTTCTTTTTCCGCGATAGAAGCATTCGCGTCGCTAAGAGCCGTACTAAGGCTAGTACGGGAGACTAAGAGGAAACGAGTAGTATCTTTATAAGCCTTAAGTAGGTTAACGAGCAGTTCCGGGTCGGTAGCGTAGGCGTAATCTAGCTATTCGCGCGTAGCGGGGATTTTATTCTATACTAAGCTTAAAAAATCGGGTACGTCGTTAGGTCTTGTATTTTAAATCTATTCGTCGGGCGTGTCTATCTTAATAGCGTTTTTTTTTTAAGGCAGTTCGTAATATAAGGGTTAGTAACTAAGTAGTAAGAATATATACGAAACTTTAAACTAAACTAAAGGGAGCACTAAATTAATATAGCTACTATCTATATAAGACGAACTACGAAGAAAGGAAGAAGGATACCTTAGAGGGAGAGCCCCTTCCTTAGTATTCCGCCCTACGGCCGTCTAGCGCGTCCGACGCCTAAGCGTAAGTACGTATATCCGCTGTCTCGTAGCGCCTTTGTCTCCTAGCTAACTTGCGTAACGCGCGTATACGAACTCGTTTAACCGCTCTTAAGCAAACATGTTTCTCCTAGCTCTTCCCTACCTTCCGGTTTCTTCCTACTACTCGGATCTGTCCTACGACTCTATATATCTCGCTTACTATCGTCCGTATATATATACGCGTAGTTTAGTACAGTCCCGTCGTTTGTATATTAATATATAACGTATTGTTCTACTATATACGGCCTCCGCGGGAGTCTCTAAGATATTACGTTATATAGCTAAGTAGGCGGCTAACTAGGCGACCTAGGCGTACTAGGCGTACTAGGCGTACTAGGCGTACTAGGCGTACTAGGCGTACTAGGCGTACTAGGCGTACTAGGCGTACCGAGCGTACTAGGCGACCTGGGCTAACTAGGCGACCTGCTTCGCTAGGGGCCCCTGCTGCTAAGGCAACTCAAATCCGACATTACTTTATAGCATGGCGGCTGGCTTGTAGGACTTGTCGGTGCTTTCTGGGCAGCCACTATGACAATACGCGCCCGGGACGCGTTCCCGGCTAAACCCGCTATCTACACTGTCAAAAGCACTATTCTAGGGACGGCATCCCCCCTAGGTAGCAAAGGGTAGCAATGGACACCTAGCCGATTGGCAATGGACACCTAGCATTTCAAATCATGATTTCGAATCTTCGAGACCAGGCTGACGCTTATCTACGATTGGTCAATAATTAGGAAGTAGGTGCGGCTCGGAGGTGGTGTCGACATCACACCATCTGAGCTTCGTAACGCTGAGATTAACACCGCCTGGCATGCTTACGAGCGAACACCGGTGCACAATGCTGCGTTCCTCGTGAGATAGATTATCATGAGCTACAGCTGATCACGCTGAAACCAAGACGGTGCCGTCGGCAACGGCGCCAATTTTATTCTAGAAGCCGCCGCGAAGGTCCGTGACCGCCGTTAGCAAAATCGCATTTCCTTTCCTTGGCTTGGCTTGCGACCTCCTCGAGTCCTCGGCGTGCAAATAATGACCCATTACGGTACGTTATGTGACGCCGTGACGACGCGGGAGCCGGTACCAGCTCTTATCGCTCATAAGTCGCCTTTCACCCAGGCAAAATTGGAAGCAGAGCGATACCCCGCGAGAGGTTCATCGATTGAGCGTGCATCGGTGGGAGACGAGAAACCAAGATCTTGCCGATGCCGATCGAGGGACCACAGACTGGTCGGGCGACGGTCACGTCGACGTTGTGCAACGGCAAAGGAGCCGTAATTGCTTGCAATGCCGAGTGATACTTTCTTCTTCACACGGCCCAGACATGATGAGCCACGTTGGAAGGCCACGTCATGGTATGATGACCGTTGAGATAACCACCTCTCGTAGATCATCACAAGAGCTCGAAGGGCCGCGTGTGTGCTTGAATGCAGTATCAATGCCAAGCGCCAAGACGATCAGTCTTACAGCGAGAGATTTCTGCCTCATCGCCCGCGACTTGCCAGCCAACCGGTTGTCAAACTCCCTCGTTCGCCCATAGCGCTTCGCCAGTCAATGTTGAGCTGCCCGAGAGGAATTCTGCTCGTAGTCTCTTCAGGGATCTCATTTTCCTTGAGCAAGAACATGATTTGTTCAATATCCTGGGGCTTAAGCACCGTGGCCTCTCTATCCTTTGTCCCATTCACGCCAGTGCTCAAAATCCCTTCTCTTTCCTTCAGCCACACCCTTTCCAAAACCACGCTCGCATCGCCGACATTCTCCAGTTGGGCTTCTAAGACCCACTGCCTCGGAGAATTCTTTTCGCGGATCTTGCGCTCAGTCACCTTGGATCGAACTGCAAGCAACTGCTGCGAGACAAATTGGTACAGCTTTCTGAATGTTCGTGCGCGACCGGCACTTGCAGCAGAGCCATCGCTCCCGATCAATGTCTCCGTATAGCTCACGGTCACAGCGAGGACATGCGGGCCTTCATCTTTCAATTCGTGTCTCAATGTCCGTTGCAGTGTCGCACCAGGCTTGAGATTCTCTTCATCTTGATCCGCCTCCGCAGCATTCTCCAAATTCAACGAAATTCCCTCTTGCCGACTAGGCGTTTGCAGCTCTGCCGTGATCTTGACACCGCTTACGCTCTTTCTCTGGTTGCTGTCGGGCGATAGCTCGTTGTTGACACACAGCGTGCACGTAAAGGTCTCGCCGACGTATGCCGCGCCGAAAGCAGAAGGTAGAGTCAGGAGCGGAGTGAGAGGAAATGTTGTAGAGTCGTTTTCTCCCTTCGGATGTGCGAGCGATGCCGTGGGATGTATGTCAAGGCCATCGCCAAAGTTCGTCTGAGGAAGTGGGGTCTGGGTTGCAAGAGACGGTCGGGAAAGGCGTAGGACTTTTAGCGAGAGACTGTGCGGTCCAGATGCAGTTCCAGATCGGGCACGCGTATGTGAAGCCATCGCAGAAGCTACATGTTGTTTGTCGTGGTGACGTTGGAGCGATGGAGCTGGAGCTGGGGTCGAGAATCCTTCTGCAAATTTAACGTTAACGACGACTGACAACGCAACGTGCAAAATGTGTTTCTTCGGTCTGTCATATTTACCTTGAACAGAACCCTACCTTTCAAGATCGTGAGCAATGGCGCGAGACGCTAATCCTTCCAATGCGCTTCTCCTACAGCGATTTCCACACTTACATCTGGTATCCAACACAGCCAAAGGTACGAGAACTCCAACTTCAACCAACTCTGCACACTAATCAATCACCTCCAGGACGAGGAGTCTTCGCCTCCGCTCCAATCCCAGCCGGAACCATAATCGACGTCTCCCCAGTCCTGATCTTAAGCATCGAAGAAAATCTCAACCACATCGAACACACATCTCTCTACCATTACACCTACAACTGGCCCACCAAATCTTCGGACGGCACACCTCAGAAATCCCAAGCTGTCGTCCTCGGTCTTGGATCAATGTTCAATCACTCGACTCAGAACCAGAATGTCGGTTGGAAACGTGATTTGGATCGAGAAGTCATTGTGTATCGTGCTTTGAAAGATATTGTTGAAGGAGAGGAGTTGTGTATCTCTTATGGTGATCATTTGACTTTTGTTGATGCTGATAAGAAGATGGAAGAGGAGGCTGAGGATGTGGTTGAGGTGTTGGGGAGGATTGATGTTGATGTTGATGTTGATGGGTGAACGGCACCACCATTCAGCAACGCCACACAACGCTCACAAGCCCATTCTTGGAGTCTGTTCTGTTTGTCTATCAGGCTGAAACGCAACCGCCGAGTCCACTGCGTTTGAGCGCAGAATGATGCATGCCTTGGCGTCAACCATCACCACGCCGTCCAGAGGCCAATGTTTCGAACAAACTAGGCAGGACCTGGCCCCAGATCCTCCGCTTTGGCAATCACCTTCTTGAAATGACCAAGACCGCGAGCTGGTATTTGATAATTACGGGATTGCGCAAATTCCGATCTGCACTGGCTAGCAAAGACGATCTGATATGTGAAACAAAGTCCCGGACTTGCACCGAGAAGTTGACTTCATCGCCGTGTGATGACAATTGGCGACCCAGATCAGGACCGCTGGGATTCGATAACGACGGAAAAATGTCTTTGCAGGAAATTTCGTCACCATGGTCCGCGTATCATGTTTGGAGGGGCTTGCCAATGGACTGAGATCAAGACAGGCCGTCGAGCCAGGCACACGTATACACGACCCCGGAGACAACTTAAGAAGAGACTCTTGATGTCGACCAAATACTTCGTTTACGCCTGTCTCTTGGTTACACACATTTGATCCTGGGTATCATTGTCCCGTCCAGACCACGACAGGCGTCCTGAGCAACTGGCCGTTTGCTATGCTCGGAAATTCTCCCCATAAGCTCACGACTTACGAACAAGTAGTGCATTGAGCGATTAGAGGAAGGGCACCGAAAGAGCGGTACGGAGCAACCTGTTTCTGTTGTAGTAGAAGGACGCACTGCATGATTCGAAAATGAAGGCGCGCTTCGCATTCAAGTTTCGAAAAAAGACAACTGGTGGCGATATTCTGAGTACTGCGCGAGCTGTCTAGCAGAGTCCTACATGACGGGCGGTGCAGCAGAACGACTCCCCGGAATTTTGCTGACCTCTATACGTCTTGTTTGAGACGGTATTGCAAATCTCCCAGCCTCACGCCCCCGTTTCAATGCAGATATCTTTCCCTCGAGTCCACCACACCTCCATCCAAAGTCAAGCTAAGCTATCACACAACAAACAACACAGCCCAAAATTCCCCAAGCAACCCATCCCGCGTGCTGAACAACCAAGCCAAAGACAACATTGCCAGCAATGGGACGAAGTTCTTCCCGGTCATGAGCACCCTGAGCTACCAAAATCCTACGCTTGAGAAGGTACCATGTGACTGCAAAATTCGCGGCGACGATGAGCTTCTGGTTTGTGGAATGGTAGCCTAGAGTCGTGTACAGCGTCTCAAGCGCGAGGTAAAAAAAAAAAGACAGCAATGATCAACGCGAGGTGTGCTGCCGCTTCGAGGATATCGTCGAGGCTGATAATGGCATCGTATGGCGTTGGCGGTGGTATCTGCTGCTACCATGGTGAAAAGCCATGGTTGGATTTTTATATGTGGACAGTCGACTGTGTGCTGCGCATGTGAAGTTGCAGTTGCAAGTGAATGATGAAGCATGGATGATTCTCGCGCCGCTCGGCATATGTAGCTGCGATTGAACCTTCGCAGAATAGCCAAGGCAACTCCGAGAACCTGGGCGCGGCTCGTCGAAGAAAGTCTCAAATACTTCTTGCCTTGTTTGGATCTCACTGGACATGTCCTCCGAGAGCTGATCGATCGAGTCGAACGCGGCGTCAGTCATGTCCATCTCCGTTACCAATACCAAGCATGCATACCAGCCCTCTCGTAGCTTTTGAGGAGACGTCACCCATGATGGCGATTTGCTGGCTTCTTTCGACAGCGTCCATCCATACGCGCCAGACACATACTGAGCAATGTATCATATCATGAACCGCGTCGGTGATTTTTGTCATCAAGACATCCTGCCGCCTCGTAGATCAACCCACCACCTCCTTCCCAAGCCTCTCCTCAAATTCCAAAACCTCCTCCATCTCAATCCCCCCCACCCCAACCATCCCCCAATCCCTCTCAAACCCCCGATCAATATCCGGCCAAGGCCCCAGCGGCGTAATCCCCCTAGGATTGATATCATAATGACTCTTCGTATAATTCTCCTTAATATGCCTAAAATCCGTCGTATCCCGCGCTTCCGGGAGATTCCAATACAAACCTTTCAACCAATTGTAGAGCGTTGGGTAGGAATATCGTAGCATGCCTAAATTGCATTTGAAGTGTTGGACGTAGACGACGTCGAAACGGATCAAGGTGCAAAAGGTTCGGATGTCGATTTCTGTGAGTTTTGGGCCGAGGATGTAGGGGCCGGCGTTGGAGGAGGTGAGTTTTTCGAGTTTGTTGAGGATGGCGAAGACTGGGGGGAGGTTTTTTTCGTATGTTGCTTGGTCGGGTGCGAAGCCGGCTTTGTAGACGCCGGTGTTTAGATGTTGTTGTAGCTGTTCGCCGAGGTGGTCGATTTGTGCTCGTAAGGGTTCGGGGTAGAGCGTGATATCTGCTAAATCCTTAGGAAGTAGCGAGTTGAAGGCGGTCTGGAGGTCTCTGAGAAGCTCATGCGATTCGTTGTTTACGATGGTGTTTAGCTTCTTGTCCCAGAGGACAGGCACGCTGTATCTGCCCTTGTAATCCTTGTCTGCCTTGAAGTACAGCTCGTGCATGTACTTGCTCCCGAAGAGCTTGTCCACTGTTGCGCCCTCATAGTCTGCTTTATCTGCCTCGTCTTTCTTGTCTTCTACATTGAACCTCCACCCCGGCCATCCCTTCGCGTCTCCCTTCGGATAGGGGCGTACGATGCTCGTCTCGATGCCAGCGTACTTGTGTAGTTGCTTGAGATGCAGCACCAAGTTGACTCTGTGTGCGAAAGGACAGAACAAAGCAATATAGAGGTGGTAGCGGTCTTTCTCAGGGTTGAAAGGACCGTCGTCTGTGATCTTGCCATGGAAGCTGTCGTCAGGGCCAGAATGCCATTCTTTTGGTAGGGATGTCGACGCCATAGTACCCGCGCTTCGAGCGAGGACAGGGCAGCGACTCTTCAGCCAGTGACATGGACTAAGCTCATGCTCGTCGCTTGTGCAGCGGTGTCCGCGGGCGCCAGCTGAAGCATAGTACGATATGTGTCTCTCGCGTAACAATCTGCCCAACGCGGACGCCAGGCAGTCGTCTCATGTGTCCAAGCTTGGCAGCTCCGGTCTGATCGGGAACAAGGCGTCAATTCATCTGCAAAAACAGGCTCAACGAGAACATATTCGCACCTGTGCCACGCATCCCATCACAACATTCCGAAGCACCGACACCGACATTCCAAGAAACTCTGATGGTAAAAAGCAAGACAAGCCTGCACCCAATCAAGCAGCAGCCATCCGCTGATCGACCCGCAGCCCTACCATACCACACGGTCCACTTGGATTCTTGCGCCCGGATCTCGCGGAACGGAAGCACGGGCTCGGAGTTTGGCCTTCGCCATGCATAATCGCATCATCACGAGGAACGAAAGATGCGGTGATGTGTGATGAGAAAGAAGAGGTCCGTGTTATTGGAGTCGTCTTAGAACTAGCCCACCACTCTTTGCATGTAAGGCTTTTGTCATCATCAGATCGTACATCACATCAGCACAATTCTCCTCCTCCCATCGTCACATTGTCATCATGTCTCTTGGGAGTTTCTTGGACATCATAGTTGAACAACAGTAGGGAAGTTGAAGTCTTTACTTGATGGCGGGGCGTGGCGAGAGTTCCGAGAGGTCGGTGACTTTCACTTTCGAAACATGCCGATTCTGGTATTGACTCTCGTGACAGTACGAGCGCGAGCTTCGCGACCACCATTGCCCTACTCTCATGCATCTACAACCTCTTGGTCGCGCGCTCATGCGCATATCTACCCGACGACCCTCTCTACATCGGACTGAGCATATCATTGTATGCCTGGGCTGGTACGGTCTTGAGTATATTCGGATTGGCCGGAATACTCGCAGTAAGCATTCAGCCGCTTGGAGGAGTGTTCGGGAACAGAATACTGATCTTTCTATCCATCTACAGAAAAAGCCGGTGCTCATTACTGCCTTCTCCCACTTCCTCCTCCTCGACACCTTCGTATCCGCAGTCTGCCGATTACTCATCCTGCAATTCTTCGCAGAGTCCTTCTATGACCACAACATCTGCAGCAACAACTACGACCCGACGTGGAGTCCGCAGAACTTCAGGCACGATATCGTCACGAGCGTGCGATATCAAAAGGAATACCTATGGCAATTCAGCCATAAGAAGAGATGTCGCGTTGCGCTGGGCGCGGTGCAGGTCGTCCTGGTGACGCTGGTGATATGTCTCACGGCAGCGCAAGGATCGCTGGCGGTGACGATGCGACGCTATGGGAAGAAATTCGACCAGAAGAGGTTGAACAAAGTGGCTGTCAGATTGGCAGAGAAGCCGCGGCAGAGTCCACAACCAGATCCTGAAAAGGTGAGATACGAGTTGCCGTAGATCGCGTCATCGTATAATGCTTGACGAGATACGAATTTATCGAGATGGAAGCTCGATTATTGGAACCAACTTTCGATATGCGACCAAAGAATCCTGATTTCCACGAACCTCCCGCGCATAGATCCTGTTTCTCCAGCTTCCCTTGGCTGTCCAGTGCTCCTCGCTGACATACCAACCGTCTCGCGTCAGCTCGATGATGTTGGGCGCGTCCAAGTGACTCCAAATCCGGACGAGGCATGCCACTTCAAAATGCCCACAGCTGTTGCATCCACACCCACAGCTTCCACTATGCCAGCCAACGACCTCTCGAGCATGCACGCAGTATGTCCTCTGTATGCGAACCCATACCGGCTCTTGTTTCTCCCGAGCAAGCACTAGCAGGCGTATCTTGAGCGAGCTCTCCACGTATTTTGGAATTGTACTGCTCATAAACCGTGCCTGGTGCCAGTGACATAGCGGCGCACTGGTAGGAAAACGACGCAACTGGGCGAGGATGCCACAATGTACGCATTTCCGCCTGCCGCCTGTGCGCTCCTTACGCTCGTTGACAGCCCGCTCCCACGCTGTCTTCTCGCAGTCTGAAGCAACTTTGAACCAATCCCGGGACGGTGATGGCGCGGTCGAGAACAAGTATCGACTCGCCAGCTTGAGCGAGATGAGCGAGGATGTGGACAGATACGTGACGATCTCAAGGAGGAGCTCCGGTGGAAGATCGATTAGGCCAGGTTTGTCCATCGTCATGTTTGAGCCTTTTTCGAACTCGATGTCGGCGCTGCAATCGAGAAATTTGGAGACGGTGCAGACTAAGTGTACGAGCAATCAGTTGGAAGTTAAGAGACTTACTTATTGGTGTAGCACGCGCTTCAGATCAAGTGCAAGACAGGTGCCAGATGCTTGCCTCATCGTGCTCGTGCCTGAACAAACATTTCGCCTCCACACCTTTCCCATGATAGTGGTCTCATGTAAGACATTATAGCGAGCTGTGCAAGGGACGACTGCGCGTGACGAATCCAACGAGCCACAACGATATCTCGCTTCTCCGTTGGAGGCATGCAGATGGTTGAAAGAATGGAGATGTATGAGAACATCTTTCATATGCCATGCAGTTGGACAGTAGCTGAAACGCGCAACAGCGGTCGTGTTTGTCTGTGAAACTCGGTTAGGCAACGCGAAAGCAGGATGCTCGCCAACTCAGCCACATCACATGTCGAGTTCTCTGTCATGGCTGAGAAGTGCAGGAAGCTCCTCATAAAAGCGCAGCGCAGCGCTCCTGTTCCTGAAGAGAAAAGCGTTGCTGTTCTCACATCAGACGCGCGGTAATCGGCCTTACCTATTCGGTGCATTTGCGCCAACCATATGTTCACGGTACTTGTGACCTGGGGACAGCAGGCTGAATGACTTGCTGACCTGTGTCCTGCGGTCTTGCCGGCCAGTCGCAGCGATCTCCGCCTGAGTTCGATGCCGAAGCAAAGTCACAAGGCAGAGCGTGGTTGTCGGTAAAGCTTCAGCATGTGATACTGCACCACCCAAGTCATTCGTCAGGTAGGCGCACTGCTCTTGTTGCACAAGATACTGGACCAGGTCGTCGGATAGATGGAGTGAGTAGGATGCAGCACATGGAGTTCGCGCCATGTGAGATGAGTTGCACCGCAGTCGTGTCTGTCATCATTGTCCATGCCAGTATCGGGCACAAGAGGACTGCTCCCCCTGGCAGACTTTGGATGACTTCGCATACTCCTCACTGCCTGGCATAGACGAGCTTTGGATTGGTAATGCCGAAGACTCAGGTCGATAAATCGCGCGCGGGGTCAACGCGGGTCGATGCAAAGGTCCGCTGCCACCGCTTGCATGGTGCATGAACCGTGATGTCGTGGGCGTGTCAATGAATCGCCGAGGGGTTCTCTCGCAGCGAAGGCTATCTAGAAGATATTGAGGTGGACGCTAGAAGATGGGCCGGAGTGTGAGTTGAAGGAGGCCAGAGTGTGTAGATGGAAGGTTCGAGGGTTCCAAGGAGACTCGGCGGAAGGCTCCAGCCTCTGCTCGGACTCGGACCCACCTTAAAATCAGATCAAGGGACTCAGCAATAGAGATGTTAGACACAGCATCACAAGCTTCGTGTATACGGTGATATTACGGTGTATACGGCCGCTCTAAGCCTCTAAGGTCCACCGTCCATCCTTATGAATAGTAGAATACGTTGGTTATTACAGCCGGGTACAGCGGATAACTATACCGGAGGCCCGGAGGGTAGATATCCCCCGTAATAACTCGTATCTAATGTGGGTCTATACTAGCCCCGCAGCTGATTAATCTGTGTCCCGTATATGTTCATAGGGTGTACACCGTGTTCATAAGCCCGAAAGTTAAATAAACCGTGTATTGACATCTCTACTCAGGAAAGGAAGGTTGTTGCGCTTCGGCTATTTCTTGAGCACAAAGATTTCGGGCATGTTTCACTGCACAGCGGACGGCGCAAAGGCGCATTGGACGTGTGTCTTGGGCGAAAGGAGTCGTGTCGAGCTGTCGCCTGTATTGGCCTGCGTTGACAATTGCTAAGGTAACGGCTGCGAGCGCTACCAAGCCGAAATTATGAGCAGACGGCCTCGGGCAGAGAGGAGCGATCGATGAAATTGGTCTCTCTCCACTCGCCCAAGGCCCTGCCTGCGCCCAGTCTCCAGTCTTCCACTACTTCTTCTCTTGCAGCAATCGTTGGGCGTCGTCGTTCCTTTGCAGTCTGCCTTCCGCCATTCCCAGGTGCAAGCGGTACGTATCGCACATCTTTTCTTAACAGCCCTCCGGCCATATTGCCCAAGAAGAAGCTCCGCGCGCCTGGCCTGCGTCCGCTCGTCCACCGTCCACGTTGACTTTTGCCTACCCGCGGCCTGCTCTCGCCGCGACTGCATGTGCCGGCGCTGCTGTACGGAATATCGCCATCGTGCACAAGGCATTTGCTTCTTCGCTAACGTGGCCACTGTCAGCCAGCCGACTTTTGTTTCTGCATCTTTGTTGCATTTAACCCGGGTCCATATACCCTAATCTGACCCGTCTTTCTACGCCTGTCCCGAATCCACCATGTCTTTCTACGACAACAACGCTGCTTCCTGGTCGGCCCCAGGCCGTCAGCCATCATGGGAACAACAGCCGCCGCCTTCGCGCTCCGACACCGCTTCCGCCTCGTCCCAGCTCGCCGATTCCAATGCATTTGCATCGCAATTCGAGGAGATCGATCGCGCCACAGACAATCTTATGAAGAGCGGGAAATGGCTTCCTGGTCAGGTAGCCGGCGCTGGTGTGCCTGGTGCGCCTGGGCGGAGAGAAAGCATGCTGGGAGGAGGGAGAAGCTTCGGGTACGATTCCGACCCACGAATGGGCGGCCCATCGCGACATTCGTCAATGAGCGAGTTTGACGGCGCGCGACCAGGCTCTGCAGGACTCCAAGGCTATTACGCGGGTCAGCGATTTCCAGGTGGAAGGCAAAGCGAGGCAGAACAAATGCTCCAGGCTAAGCGCAGGATGGCTGCCCAGCGTGAACGGGAGCTGCGCAACTACCACCAGGAGCAGCAATACAACAGAAGTGAGTGAATTGTTCTCCTCTCTTGTACATTTCCAAACTAAGTGAGCAGAAGCGGTATCTGGTGGGAAAACCAGTAGCGACCGATCGATGAGCCCTGCGACCATGAGCGAAGATGATCGCCGTGAACTTATCGCGCGTCAGCACCGTGCATTGTATGGCGACAACTCGAGCTTGTACAACGCGGACGGATCGCGCTCGCAATCTCAGGATGTTCGTGTTCCGAGTGGCGGTCGTGGACCTTCTCCGTTGGCTTACGATCCATTTGGCGCTCAAGCTCAAGCTCAAGCTGGTGCGGATGGTGCAGTGCAAATGCCTCCACGTGCGGAAAGTACTGCATCTCCTGCCTCGAACGCACCAATTCAGCAATTTGGCCTACTAAACAATGCTCAACAGAGTAGTCGCACGTCCACTTCCTCTCAAGGCGGATCGCCGCCACTTGCGCCGGGAGCCAAGGGTGGCAGTCAAGGCGTTGCGCCCATTGGTACACGACCGGTACAGGGTGCTGGATCCACTGGTGCGATGAACAACCGCGCAACCACCCCTCTGACTCCATCCTCCTTGAGCTATGGCTTCAACGCCAGCGACGGGCCACAAGGGAACATCGGCAAAGACGAACGCTCGACATCAGCAGCATCGAACCCGGCCCTTGCAGCAGAAAAGAATTCCAGTGGACTCGGCAACTGGGGCAGCAGCAGCGGTCATTGGGGTTCCAACAAGAATACCCTCGCCGTGCAGCCTTCTGTCTGGGGCTAGGAGCGTGATTCCAAGAAAGACTGAAAATTATGATTCATTCGCAACTGGGAGAGACAGAGGTCAATCAATGATGACAGGTTAGCGGTGGAGTTATTCTTGTTGCAGCATTCACGAGTGGCATTTGGACGCGGTGTCATTGGGTTGTTTTGCAAAGCGTTGCACAGTGCGGTGCGACTGGCGCTCGTTCTGGACAGACTGCATTTTTTGGTGGAAGCGAAGCGAATTGGGATTGGAGCGGCGTGCCTTTTTGTGATTCCCTTTCTTTGATATCAGGCTTGTAGGCCACACTTTTCATGCGGGAGGAGTTGCGCGATTGGGATTCTTGCTTGAGTACAAATATGATGTAGCTGAGGATTGATGCACAGCACTGGATGGATGGGGATGGGGATCGGAGTCGGCATGCATGCGTTCTGCTACCAACCATATATCCTGATTGCTTTTTCGCGGGTAATCCTTAGGGTCAGAAAAGATGGTTTGGACGGACGCAATGAAATACATTCATATGAGGGACAAAGGTTGAAATTCGATTGGCCTTGCATGTGATTGTGCTTGATTGATGAGGCAAGTGGGAGGGCTTGTAGATCGTGTTTGTCCAGGTCGAGGCCTGAGGCCAAACTGCGCCGGCCCGATGCGGCTCTGCGGCTCACAAGAGTGAAGGTGTCAAGGTGTCCCTTTCGAAGCTCTTGGGAATATTGATTTATTGACTGCTCAAGACACTGCGAAACACATCCACGTTGCTGCAACGCCGACCACGACACACTGCGATCATCACCTCTAATCCCTACATAGTCAGAGCCTCGGTTGACGCGCCTCCAAAATGGTACGAACGCCAGATACTACGAGTCCCCCTCTGTCCATCCATTCACGAACATCGCATGTCGCATTATGAAAGAGGCATTGCGCAATGATCAAAGCACGCGCAAATCCCAATGATCAATCTTTCAGTGCTGACGATTATTGTTATTGTTATAGTCCTCTCCTCGCCCCTCGTCGCCCATCAACTCGCCTACCACGGGCACCACCACCGCACGCCCGGCATCGCCCAAGGCGCCAGGTGGACCAGCGACCGCAATTCGAAGAAAGGCGGCTGCTGATAGACAGGACCGTATTGCTAGCCAGCGTCCCTCGAGCACAAGAGCCGCAGGTGCAGGTGGAAGCAGCAGCACTATGCTGAGTAGGTGAACTCCAGCCGCGCAAGGAGGCCACAATTGAGCACAATTCAATGCGACGCCTATCTACATGGAGAATGCGAGCTGATGTGTTCTATCAGGGCTGTACACCGATGAGTCTCCAGGTCTCAAGGTCGACCCGTTTGTGGTCATGGTTTTGTCGATTGGATTCATTATCTCTGTTGTTGCACTTCACAGTACGTGTGGCAGACCTCGATCGACATTCGAATCATACTGACGGTGCATAGTCATCGCAAAATTCACCAAGAGATTCTCATCATAGGCCGGCATTGCGAAGACGGGAGCGAAGGAAAAGCGCGGCGTTCAGGAGGCTGTAACATAGCAGCGAATAAGTCCTCCAGGAGGCTTGCCAATGTCTCCAGCATATTGAGCATGGCAATTGGGCAGCAGATTGAATTCCTCCCATGCCCCGGACGCAGCACTTGTACAATGTACGTAAGCATTGGGCGGTTCTGAGCGGATTACCGTCTCTCATCTATCCGGGGTTGCGTCAGCCACTTCACCCCTCGCCTGCGCTCGGGGATTTCGGCCATACGTAAAATCGCGATTTGTTAGTAGGCCACACGTAAATCTCGACGCTAGCGTATATTGTATAGTGTATAAGATAGGAAATCGATAGTACGTGCGATTATAGTTAAGAAGCAGTAGTTTTCGAGCAAATTACGACTATATATACCTATTCCTATCGCCTTAGCGCGTACCTCGCATCGACTATATAATTAATTACTATATAGGTTAGCCTATATGTCTAGTATATAACTGCCGCCTCTTATATGTCTTCTAGCTTAATAGGGTCGTTCTTGCTACTAGCAACTAAGCCCTTATAACGACTAGTTTTCTTCGGATCTTCGTAGAAATACCGCTTCCGCTATATAGACTCTTAACGGCGACGAGGATGTACTAGATAAGGCCAAATTATAGTATATATAGTATCCTTATTAAGTAGCGCCTTATCTTATTACAACTAGTTTAGTCGAGTGTTAGGCTCTTACGCGAATAAGCCGTTTAATCGCCGCTTTAACTTAACATTAGTCTAGGTTAGAAGGTTACCTTCTTCGTGTTCGTAGGTGCGGCTCGGCAGTAATAGTGTCTATACCTAGCTCTACGTATAAGTAATATCGCCGCCGTCGGAGGTATAAGTATATCGCTTATATTCGCTAATAATATTAGCGTACGGATTACCGGTCTTCTTTACCGAGTCGTTATTAGTAATAGTAGTAGTAAGAAGCCGAAGGTCGAAGGCACGTTATAGTAGCTTATCGATAGGCTATAATACAACGTCTATAAACTTAGTCTTACTATTATTATTAAATATAATACGAAAGGCCTCGCTATACTTTAGTCGATATTAGCGTGCCTTGTTATATAGGGACTTAGCCTTACGGAGCATCTTCTAGTAGTAATTGTTAGCTATTTCCTTGTCTTACTAAGTAAGTTGTAAGCGTAGTTTAGAAGCCTTAATCGTACTAGCTCGAATAAGCCTATTTAGTTGCTCCTTCTAGCGCTTTCTTACGCGTTTAACGAGGCTTATAGACTTGTATTTGCGCTTGTATTCTTTACCTTTGCAGATAGCCGTATCGACTAATATATTATAGATAGCTTCTACTTGCTTTATAGGTAATAAGGAGAATAGATTAAATAAGGATAATATAGTATCGATACTAAGTAGTGCGGTCTTTAGATAGCGACGTCGGAAGTCCTTACGAAGTTGCGAGCTTGTATAGCACTACGAGATGCCTAGATCGTACGAGGGCTAGTAGTAGTAACTAGCAACTATTATAGCAATTCGGGTATTAGCGTCCGGATTAGCTAAGGTAGTAAAGATAGCATACCCTAAGCAATTATATTCTCGAGATCTCTTAAATAGTAACGACTATTAGCGCGGTGCTACCTATCTAGATCGACAATATTAGGATTAGGCGAACGTTTACGCTTAACCGATGTAAGGTATTCCTACTAAGCGGTATCTACTATTGCAAGCGATTCTTCGTATCGGGCTTCCTTCTACGCTAATTCGCCCTCGATTACCTACTAGTTCCAATTATAGTCTATAGCGCTATACTAATCTCGAATGTAACGATAAGGAACCTCTCTATTAATTAGGAACAAGCCTGTCTTACGGAATGCGGCCCTTATATTATAGTTAGTAAATGTCTTTACCCGAATAGCTAAAAGGGCTTCTATAAACTTAGGAATACTAAATTTACTAACACTACGGTATATAGCCTCTAAGACCGCTTGTCTATGCTTTAACTTGTATACTTAGAATAGTATAACGTCGAGAGGCTATATAAAGTGCGAAGTGTATAGTTATAGGCCCTATAATTAAATTTTATAGCGCTTCGCGAAGGCCGCGAATTCCTTAAAGCAGTAGGAGCTATAATTATCGTATAGTAGCACCCTCTATTCGTTTAGGTCCTTAGGTCTCGTCTTGCGCTTAAACTAATAGATATAGTATATAGCAGTATCGTCCGTTATATAACTAGACTCGTTAATAGTAATTAAGAAGTTGTCCTTACCTAATAACGAGGGTATAGTTAGTAAGTAACGTTGTTATTGCCTTAGGCAATAGACTCGGTCTCGGCAATAGACTTACCTTCTTTTAGTATCTAACGCTCTTAAACTATTACACCTTTAACAATTAATTAATATTTAATTACCTCGCCGTACGCGTTAACGGTCTCGACTACGGTTATATACGTACGATTAGTATCGCATTTAGTCTAGGCGCGCCGCTTCGTATCTATTATAACTACGTATTCGTTGCTACTAATACCAATCCGAAAACCGGTTTCGTCGAAATTCTATATATTCCGCGGCTTTATACCTAGTCGCTCTACTATCGCCTTAAACCGATTAAACTACGCCCTTATCGTCGAAGGGTTATAGGCTTCCTTACGCTGCTTCTTAATAGGTTTAGACTTTACTTTACTAAGGTTATGCCGAGCTAGGAATCGCTTAGCCTAGTTACTACTGAATAGTAGTATAACCTTATTAGGCGACATTCTCTTTAGTATGTCTATAGTAATAACGCTAATTAGCGCTACTAGTAAGAACATCCCTATTTCGTCCCTCTCTCGATAATAATCCGCTAGCGCTAGCTCTTAAGCCTCTATTAACTTAGTATTAGTCGGCGGCCGCGATAGGAGCGATAGATAGCCTCTTAATCGCTAGTATATTCGCGAATATAGGTTAGTTGCCCTCTTAATCCTATATACCTCTCGTATACTAAGATTGACTAATTTAGCCTATAGTTTATAGTACCTCGAAACGACGCGTTCTACTACCCTTTCCGCCCTCTCTATCTTAGTTAACTACTTAGTATATACTCTCTTTGCCTTTTTGCCTTTTTTACGCCCTATAGCTACGATTATATACAATCCGTATAGTAGAAGAGAAGGAATAGGAGAATACGCGCTTTAGAATAAGGTGGACGCGCCTGCTAAGGATTATATAAGAAAATAGCGGTAGTAAGGTCTATAGCTACTACACACTCGGATAAGGCTATCTATATAATATTTGGACTCGCGGTTTATAATAGCATCTACCTAGATATCCGAATGGGACTGGAAAGTACGATTATATCGAGATTTACGTGTGGCCTACTAACAAATCGCGATTTTACGTATAGCCCATTTCCCCGCGATCAGCGGGCGTGAAGTGACTGACGAAACCCCGGATAGCCCAGGCATAGAGAGGCTCAATTCTCCCTCCGGCACGTGTGAAAGCAGGGATCAAGCGAGCCGACATTTTGCATACACGCAATAATAATGCATGCAACAAATTGACATCTTCCGGCGCCAAGTGTTCTTTTTGCTGAGCGTTCGCATTCAGCAGCTCATTTCTGCCGTGAGTTGCAATTTAGCCGTGTCGCGCGCAGCCCCACGAGTTGAACGATGGCCTGCCCCGCTACAGCTCGCAGTGCCAATGGGGCACCACACCTCAAGAGATGCATTCTGCCGCGAGCAGATAAATTTGGAAAAAGTTGTTGAAAAATGTTCCTAGGTACCGCCCAGGAGCCGCTTGTCCCACAGATTCTTCGCGAAACGTAGTTGGTTGGCAATGAGCGTGCCCGTTATAAAAAGGCGAGTGCCCTGCAGCATCATTGGAACCGAAACTAAGTCAACTTGCAGATCCGTTGCATTATTCTTTTCTCGTACACCAACCTTTTCCTCACCTGTAACATTTTCACTCAGACACTCTCCTGCAGTGACACCTCCAAATATCCAGAACCGCCTATCAACCAGAAGCTACGCAAAGATGGCATCGCCACAGATCAAGCTTAACAACGGCAAGCAGGCAAGTCTGAGCAGCATTGATCATTGCAAAAGTGAGAGGCATTGACGCAGACTAGATGCCGCTTGTCGGGTTTGGCCTCTGGAAGGTCAACAATGATACCTGCGCCGATCAGGTCTACAATGCCATCAAGACTGGTTACCGCCTCTTCGATGGTGCTTGCGATTATGGCAACGAGAAGGAAGCCGGCGAAGGTGTAGCACGCGCGATCAAGGACGGACTTGTCAAGCGTGAAGATCTCTTCATCGTCTCCAAGCTCTGGAACTCTTTCCATGACAAGGAGCGCGTTGCACCAATCACTGAGAAGCAGCTCAACGACTGGGGCATTGACTACTTCGATCTCTTCATCATCCACTTCCCAATCGCGCTGAAGTACGTCGACCCATCCGTTCGATACCCACCCGGTTTCTACGACGAAAACGACAAGCTCTCCCTCAGCAAGGCAACTCTCCAGGAAACTTACCACGAGATGGAAAAGTTATACGAGCGCGGTTTGATCAAAGCCATCGGTCTCTCCAACTACAACGGCGCCCTCCTCCTCGACGTCGAACGCTACGCCAAAACCATGCCCCAGGTCCTCCAAATCGAACACCACCCCTACCTCGTCCAACAAGACTTACTCGATCTCTGCCAAAGCCGCGGAATCGCCGTCACCGCATACTCCTCTTTCGGCCCACAATCCTTCCTCGAACTCAACATGCAAAAGGCAAAAGACACCCCTCTCCTCTTCGACCACACCGATATCAAAACCCTCGCAGCCAAACACGGCAAATCCCCGGCTCAGATCCTCCTTAGATGGGCCACGCAGCGTGGTATCGCTGTGATTCCTAAGAGCAATAATCAAAACCGCCTGGCGCAGAACCTTGATGTTTGTAGTTTTGATCTTGAGGATGCGGAGATTAAGCAAATCTCGGCTTTGGATCGGGGGCTCAGGTTTAATAATCCTTTGAATGTAAGTTTTTTTTTTCATTCACGCTTTGCAGAGCTTTGGTGGGTGGGGTTTTGGCTGATGTGGATGACTCTATCTAGTATGGTATTCCGGTCCCGATCTTTGCGTGAGTGGATTGCGAGGGGGTGGGGTGGGGCGTGGCGTTGAGGAGGACTCGGAATCTATGTATATTCAAGACTGTCCACCGAACACAAGCACTGCGCAATAATCACAAGCAGCTTTTGTTGACAGAGCTCACCGTTTGTGAAGTCCCAACTTGCCTAAGAACCCTTGCCATTTCTTGTAGTAGCTAGCTATCGAGAATCTACGACCTGACGAGTTACGACGCATTTGCACTTCTATTAGTCCTAACGAAGCAATGGGATAAGATCCCAATACAAAATACCTAGAACTTTTTTATCTATTAGACGTACTGCTTCCCTTATTATAAGAATCCTAGGAGTTTGAGTGGGCTTTTTCTTATCATCGAAAGAGTTGTGGGATTTTTTGTTCGAGAATATCTGAGGTATCGTTCCATATACTGTGGTGCTCGTAAAGCGGCGAATGTTGTGAGTTTGGTCGTGAGGGATGGTGGTAGGGAGGGATGGAGGGGTTTCTGGGAGATGTTAGTCGTCGTTCGTGCCGGCACCATGGCAAGGAGAAATCGGTTCATCATATGCTTTGTCTTATTCATTCCTTCACATGTGCAACGTTGCTGCGCCTAGGTATATAGTGCTGTGCTGTGACCACGATCGGCAGCTATGGTACAACGATAAAAATGCCATCGCCCCCAAATGTCAGTCATGCTCATATGCGCTCGTGCCTGCCCTGCCCTGCCCAGGAACCCAAATGTGCCTCTCAAGGCGTCTGAGACTCTCCACAACTCCTTGCCATGCATGCAAATCCCGGAAATTCCTATGCGGTAAGGGCGGAAGATATTCCAAGTATCGACATGCCCGCAAACGCACCAATCATGCATAAATGCTTCGAATGCGTCAGATCCAAGCTTTCTGCGAACAGCTGTAATGCAACACTGGCAAGAATGCCTGCTGTGACGGCAAACATGCCTCCGTAGACTGCCTCGCTCGGCTCCCATCCACGCTTGCCTGCGGCCTTGAACCACAGCGCCGCGACACCGGCGCCGAGCGGTTGTGATAAGCCCCCGAGGGCGAAGGATATGAGCATCGCCTTCAATCTGTTGTTGATGGCGAGGTATAAAGGTAGCGCCATGGCGAATCCTTCGGTGATGTTGTGGATGAAGAGTGCTAGGAAGACCGACACGCCGAGCTTAGGATTCGCGTGATTTGTGGCGTATGTGATGAAGCCTTCGGGTAGCTTGTGCAATGCGATCGCGATAGATGTTTGAAGGCCGATGTTGAGAAATGCATTCGTCGGAACGTGGTGATGGTGGGGATGGTCGAGATCTTCCTCGTCCAATTCGTGCGAGTCTTCGGAATGGTGCGAATGCGTCTTATGGGAACGGTTGTTGCTGCCGACGGCCGTGGCAGAGCTGTCATCTGAGGGTTCTTCGATGTTGGCGTCAGCCGCTCCTTCTGCAGCTGCTCGCGTGTGCGGTCTTGCTAATGGCTCTTCTACTATTTCCGCCAGTAGTGGAGTCGATTCGGTGGCTGTCACGCTCTTAGTTGCGGCAGGTCGCTGAGCTCCTGACGTTGGTTTCGGTGCCTTGAATCCACCTCTACCATTCACGCTTTTGAAGCAGTCCGATTGACAAAGGTCGCTGTAGCCATAACAAGGGCCATCACATGTGCACGATGGATCTTTGCCGGTAGTCAGCTTTGAGACGCCCTCCTTTATTCGACTTTGCAATGTCGTTCTGCGCTCCATCGTTTCGGGGCGCCTCTCGGATGTTCGTTCATCGTGCTCCGACTCTATGCTCGCAAGATGCGAGTGACTTTGACTTGACAAGCACGATGAGCGATGCGAGGAAGTCCTTTGGTGTGTCTGGGGGCGTGCATAGGTTCGATGGGAATTCTGTCGTTGTGTACTTGTTCTTCGAGGATGTTGTGATTTGGTGTGGTGATGATGGTCGTGACCGTTCGGGGGATGGTTATGTTCGCGCTCCTTGTGAGCTTCCTCGTCATCATGCTTATGTTCGCAGTCAACCACGTTGTGCGGTATGAAGCGATGCATGATACGAGAGATGATCTGAATGCCGGCAACGCCAGCAATAAAGCAGGCGATCAATATCCAAGCGGCTGTCTTTGCATCGTAGCCGCCTTTTATTAACGAGCTCTTTGCAGACGGCAGCATACTGTACAGCGCGGAGAACAACTATAGACGCATTAGTGGGCACTCTCGTGGAAGCAGACAGGGACCTCTCTCACCATCACCCCGAAACTCAAACTTAGAGAGACGGAGAGAAACACATCGCTGTCTTGAATCTTCCACCCCGCCTTACCGGGAAACTGTCGAACGACAATGTCGATGCATATGAACGAGGCTCCGAATATGCAAGCTGAAATGGATGTCAGCATGGCAGTCCTCTATGGCAGATTGCGGCGGACATACCAATTCCACTCAAACCGGTCATGATCCAACCCCGGTCGTCGTTGGAAAGACCGACGTTATTGAAGTTATGATGCATATTGATTAATGATGTCTTTGGGCAGCAACAATAATATGCCTCGAAGGCTGCAGCAAGAAGAGTTGCGCTCCTCGGCTCTTCTCGCGTGAGGCCACGCTGTGACTGTGCAACGGTCGGGTCACCAGGTGGTGTCGCCCACGTTGTACGTTGTGTTTCGAGGAGTCCGGTCCCTCCCTTTATTATCGAATCTCGACGCGGTTTCGCCTCGCCTCGCCTCGCCACGCCTCACCCCACGCACCGCCGCATGCCCAGATCCTGCCAGAAGCCGACGACGTGCGTGTTCGATGGGAAATCAATCGATAGAAGGGTCAAGGTACGGCAGGTGTCACGGAGGAGTGTGCCTCCTGACCGAGTCTCACTCTCCGCGCGTCTGCGGAAGGAGCTGCATGTCATGAACCTGAACACTGTCGTCCATCAAGGTGTCGCCATTAGCCTTTGTCAAAAACAAGATCTCGCGTTTGATTCGCTGCTCGCTCATCGGCGCTAGGCGCGCGTAGAGCATCCGAATCGGAAGTCACGTTTGCTGGGAAGGGCACTGATTTCTTGATTTCTTGGTACGCGCGCAGCCTGCACAAAGACCCATCCCCTTAACCGCCTCCGTGGTTAAGTCCGTCGAACACCCACCCTGGCAATCCCCTTGTCAGGTTCCACTTTCCATGCTAAATCCGGTGTGGCCCTATACAAAACTGCATCGCCCCTCGAACAGCGATCGTATCCGATTAAGGCTCGGATTTAGCCGTAGTAGAGCTTAAGGTTAAGAAGCCGACACTCTTACGAGTCGTCGCTAGTAAAGGTTCTATAGTCTAAACTCTACTAAGTAAAGGTATAGAAGGTATAGAAGAAGGTATATAATAGAAGCGCTAAGTACGCTATCGAGATAGGTATATAGACTATATAGACCGCAGATTAAGACCTTCTAATAACTAATTAGCTACTAACCGAGTCTCGGCTATCTCGTATACGCTGTCGACTAAGTCGCTATAAGCTTAGTAAAGAGACACTTCTAGCACTAATTAAACCGCCGAGTCTACTTAAAAAGTAGTTTAATATTAGTCTACTTATAGCTAAGGTTAACCGGCTCGTAGAGGCAGTAAGGGACTTAAGGGTAGATATAAACCTCCTATAGAAGGAGGTTAAGAAAGAGGTTAAGAAGGAGGTTGCGGAGTCGCCTATAGTAGTTACTAGCTCTGCCGAAGAAGGCTCTCGAAGTAAGGCAATAGTTATTAAGAGGGCGGAGTTTAAGGCACTCTAGTTAAAGGTTAAATAGCTATATAAGACGATTGCCTCGCTTATAAAAATGTAGTATGCTTTAAATGCCGGCTATAAAGCTAACTTATCGGTAGTAGCGACTATTGTTAATCGCTAGCGGAGGTTAAAGAGCCCTCCGGCTTTAGGCTCTTAGGGAAGGTATATAGATTAGGCTAGTTGTGCTATGTTAAGTTATATGCCTTATATAGGGTAATAGGACTATAATACAAGCAGGCGTATATTAAATAGTATTTATCCTTCTTATTAAGAGGCTAGTATTTGAAGCCCTAAGCGGTCCTTACGTGCTTATAGAGATAGCAACGCTAGCGCTTAAGAACAGGCTTCTAGGAGTATATAGCGTTACCCCTATAAGCGAGGCGGCGAGCTTCTTTAGTAGTAGGAAGGCTATCGCCCTTCCTAATCTAATAGCGCTTCTATCGAGCTCTGCTAGTATTATAGGTATAACCTACGACAAACTAGCCTTGTTACCTAAGCGGCGGAGGCGTTAGCGTACGATTAGCCTTTGCCGTCGCCTCTATAGCGAGGCGAGTATTCTTCTTACTTTGTGCCTTCTGTACTGTTTGCTGCGCTAGTTTGACTCTAAACTCGCGTTAGTTATTAAAGTCCTTGTCCTTCTTATTGCTACGAAGAAGTATATATACGTTAATAATAGCGGTATTAAGTAGGAAGTAGAATAATAGATACTAACCCTTCCTTAACTTATACTAAGAGGAATAATAGAACCGGAGCTGATTATAGATATCTACGCTACCTGTATAATTATTATAGCGAGCTGTAATGCTTAGTAATAACTTCGGTTCTCGTTTTTCTTTCTAGTAAGGTCGTACGTAGTTATCGATAAAAGCGTTATTACTAGCTCGTAGGCGTACTCGGAGGCGTATTTCTCGGCTTCGTAGATTAATAGCATTCGTAAGGAACTAAACGAGATTTCTGTCCTACTAGACAACCGCTACTATACTATAAATTACCTTATATAGCAGTATATCGAATAGGAAATAAGTCGTCTTACGGTTTAGTAGTAGAAAGGTCGATTTCTTCCGCCCTCCCTTTTTTAGAAGCTAACCTAGTTTCTCGAATTTAGCGCCTCTCTAAGGCTATAATAAGGAGCTAGACCTTACTATGCTAGTCGCTCCGATGCCGAGATGCTTTAATATAGTAAATAGGACTATATTGTTAAATAGGTTGTCTATAAATATATAGAAGTAGTATGTTTAGAAAGGAAGTTATAGTAACAATCGGAGAACAGCGATTCTTAGCGGACTTAGCTTCGCGCTAAGATTAAGTCTATAGGCGTAGTTAGTCGGTTATATACTACTAGGCTCGCTTACGGCGCTTTCCGAGCTTTCTATAGCTTCCGAGTAGTTAGCGCCTCTTAAGGCAGATATATAAAAGTCGACTTTTATTTTATTAACCTCGTAGACACTACTTATTCTATTGTAACTACTATCCTTAGCAAGGCTATTAAGCCTGTCTCGGCGCCGCTTATTACTCTCCTTCGCTCGCTTAATTACCTCGGCGCTAGTAAGCTACTCTCGAACGATAACTAGCCGCTCGAGGATTCTTATTACAAATTCGTCCGTTTCGACCTCCTAAGAATGCTACTTTCGAGAGCTTAAGAATAGGAAGGAATATAGGTACCCGTCCTTATATAAGTATAGGATATAGTATCCGATAGGTATTAGCTTTCCTCGCATTATTATTATATAACTAGATCGGCCTATAAACCGGATTATAGACTCGTCGATAGATATATTACTTCTAAGAAGAATAACGCTCTTAAACCTCTCTCGTAATAGGTCCGCTAACGGTAATATCTACGACTACGTAGGCAGTCCAAAGCCCCTTAGAATAGGACTTCTATACTATAGAGCGGCCTTAATCTATCGGAAGCGCTACTTACTTATATAATCGGTAATTAGATATATAGGCTAGTATTTGTCGTCCCTTTAGTAATCCGACTTATTAGCTATTTAGATCGCCGATATATAGATAATAAGGGCTACAAAGATTAATATATCTTTACGCCCTACTAGTTTCTAAGGGTATCTAGATATAACAATCTTAGGCTCCCTATTGCGGCTAATTCGGGGGTTTCTAGCCTTATCTAGTTTAAACTCTTCTTAGGTCTCTATATACTTATTAGTATACTTAACTAGCCTATCTATAACCTTATTAGTCTATAGGAGGTTAAAGAACTCGTACTGTACGTCGTCTACCTTCGAGAGGTCCCCTTATAGGTAGATAGGCAAGTTAACCTTCCGCTAGCGCTTAGTTACCTCTAATAGCTTAAATAGGTCTTCTTTTAGGTCGTCTTCTACTAGATAGTAGAGGCTACCGGCTCGGTTGTCTATACTAACAGTCTTAATTAGGTCGTCCTTATTTCTAGCATTATATAGCTCTTTATCTAACCCTCGAGGCACCGCTATTATTGTTGCTATCGCTATCTTATAGAATAGACCTTCTATCTACAAATAGACGTACTTATCGTACTTAATAGGGTTACTATAAGCCTCCTTAACCTGTTATAGCTACCCTTAGTTATTATCTTCTTTATTAGCTTCTATACTATCGATAATAGTAGCTTAAAAGCGGTTTAAGCCGTCTATTATAGCTGCTAACTTAGTAGGTTAAACTTTATAGTTTAAACCTTTAAGAGTTAGAATTCAGTCTCCGAGAGCGGCGGCGACTAGAAGAGGCAAAGCGCTATTATAAGCGAGTCCAATTGAGCCTTGTCTATTTACCTGCAGAGCGGCTTCTATATGCTAACTATGTGGACACTGTAGGGGTTGATCCCTGTTTACCCGACGAACGCCGACCAGCAACGAGTTAACCAAGGGGATCAAGCTCATCTGGACACTCTCTCGAAATGGCGCACACCCACGCAGACAAGCTTCTGCAGCGACCGCTGTATGGTGGGTACATTGTAAAATTGCATGGCGTCGAGGAATATGGCGGCTGGCATGTGACAAGCCTCGTCAACTGACCGCTCCTAGTCTTTGACCTCCCCGAAGAGATCCTGTATACTCTGCAGCTCAAGACCCAGCCAACTGCGCCCCCAGAACCAGAAACGCCCTCACCGCAACCCGCCACTCCAGAGACACCTCGGCCAGAAGATGGCGCGCCGTCCAACGCAACATCATGTCGTCTCTGCGGCCTCACCTTTGCCAGTCTACTCGAGCAGCGCAGCCATGTCAGATCCGACTTTCACAGTTACAATATAAAGCAGAAGCTACGTGGAAAGCAGGCTGTGACTGAAAGTGAATTCGAGAAGCTCGTGCAGGATTTGGATGAGAGTCTGTCGGGATCGGACTCTTCAGACTCGGAAGACGAGAGTGACGGAGAGAAGAAAGACTCGACGCTGAGTGCGTTGCTCAAACGGCAGGCGAAAGTCACTCATGGCGACGCTGATGATGCGCCAACAAAGCAGCCCAAGCGCGATTCCGGCAAGCCTCCTCTGCTGTGGTTCTCTACGCCGAAGCTGCCTTCCAACACCTCTCTCGCCATATACCGGGCCATATTCTCAACTTCAGAGCAGGAGCATGAAGAGAAGCTGGTGGATACGATCAAGCAGAAACAGCTTGCTGCAAAGCCCCCACCCAACCCGCTGCAGCAGAAGAAGCTGGAGAAGGATGAGGAGGAGGGTGGGGTCCGACTACCAGCCTCGATGATGCCAAAAAATACCAGCGCTGCTGGTCCGCACTACTTTCTCTGCATGATCGGTGGTGGCCACTTTGCCGGCATGCTGGTGTCTCTCACGCCCAAGCTGACGAAGAAAGCCGGCCAAGACGACCGATCTGCTACGGTAATAGCGCACAAGACTTTCCATCGGTACACTACACGTCGGAAACAAGGTGGCTCACAAAGTGCCAACGATAACGCGAAAGGCAATGCACATTCTGCCGGGTCAAGTATACGAAGATATAACGAAGCAGCACTGACACAGGAAGTGCGCGAGTTGCTTGCTGAATGGCGAGAGATGATCGACAGTGCTGAGCTGCTGTTCATCAGAGCAACGGGAAGCACCAACAGACGCACGCTCTTCGGCCCTTACGAAGGACAAGTGCTGAATTCCAGAGACGCACGGCTGCGAGGCTTTCCCTTCAGTACGCGTAGAGCGACGCAGAATGAGCTCATTCGCTCCTTCACCGAGTTGACGAGAGTCAAAGTCGCCACTGTGGACGAAGCAGCCCTAGCAAGACAAGCTGAAGAGGCCGCTCACGCTGCCGTAAAAGCAGAAGCTGCGGCCAACGGTAAGCCCAGTACGCCAAAGCCAGCAAAGCCCTCGAAAGAAGACGAAGAGGCAGCATTGCACACACAGCAACTGCAAGCCCTCATCCGACGAGCGAAGGCCCCTGCAATGCTATCCTACATCCAGTCCAACAGCCTAAGTCCTGATTTCCGCTTCTTTCCACTCGATCTCAATCATCATGCACCGACACCACTTCACCTTGCAGCAGCATCCAACAGTCCCGCCTGCGTCACTTCCCTTCTTGTCAAGGCCGGCGCAGATCCATCAATCCGGAATGGCGATGGCAAGTCTGCTTTTGATATCGCTGGTGATCGCGCCACCCGAGACGCATTTCGCCTTGCTCGCTCACAGCTTGGAGAGTTGAAATGGCCTTGGGATGAGGCTGGCGTGCCAGCTGCTATCTCACAAGCGGATGCCGATGCACGCTCTGCTCGCGAGAAGGACGAGAAGGCTGCAGAGTCCGCAGCTGAGAAGCAGAGACGGCAAGCTGAGCTTGAGAGGATCCGGAAAGAAGACGCGGAAAAGCAGACGGCGCAGAAAGAGAAGAAGTTTGGCAAGGGTAGTGTGCTTGGCAAGCCGGTTGTGACTGCTGAAGAGAGAAGGATGGAGGAGGCGCGAGGCATGACTGATGAGATGAGGATGAGGCTCGAACGAGAGAAGAGGGCCAGGGCTGCAGAAGAGCGCATGAAGAGGTTGCAAGGTAGATAAAGACCTATCCTCTCTTCATAGTCGCTGCCAAGCGCGCCGGCTTCTCTGCGTTTCACTTCAATCTCGGGCAGGAGAGTGTGGTGAAGGGCAGGTCAAGGAGAAAGGCAGGCCTCTCGCTCGACTAATTATCATTCACTTACGCAAGGCATAAGGCGGTGAGTCTAATCTTTGCATCTGCCTACGGTCAAGTGAATGTTCAGCCTGTGGCAGCGCTTCACTGCCAGTCATCACATGAAAGCCACAAACGCTTCTTCTGGCCATCTTAAAATCTCTAACCTAGTCGCACGACGCATCTCCGCCCTTCGAACCTCCAAACCTCATGACGCCGCCCCCTCTTCACCCCCCACCCAACAACCCTACTGCCGCTCTCCTCCACCTCACCCTCCAATCTCTCTACCTCCTCCCTCCCACGCTCCATGTCCCCTCGGGAAGCTTGGGGATCCATCCTCGCAAGCTCCATCGCCGTGACGTACTTCCTTCAGCTATCTTTCTCACTCGCCAATACGATTTTGGTAACATGAATGCGCTTGACTTCGCGGACACTTGGTTTTTGTGGGTTACGACTGTTTGGGGGATTGCGGTTACTGTGGGTTTGCGAGGTTTGGGTTTCTGGTGCTGGGGAGGAGGTGAGGGGGAGGTAGCTTGGAGTGTGGGTGGGTATGAGGAGATGCACTTTCGGTTGGGTGCTTTGGAATGGCGGGCAGATCGTAGCATCATGCTATCGGGTGGTGGGCTGCTTGCCTTCGACGAAACTGCTGAATGGCATGGCATGAGGTCGATACTCCAACATTCGGCGTTTGTGGGTCTGTTGCTTTTGTTTCTTGGTATGTGTAGTGCGGTTGGAGAGGGTTGGGGGGGGGGATTTGATTTCTGTGGATTGAGTGGGTATGGGTGTTGGAGATGGAGAGGCAGAGGTGAGGTCTTGAAAACGAGACTATAACGTTCATAAACCTCTTGAATCATACTGTTCTGACCACTTTGCCTAACAACCTGGATGATGACCCTTGCTTGGCTTTTGTCCAAAGTCTGCTTCTGCACGTATACTCTCGTCGTCTCAGCTCCTGCCGCAGAACCTAGACCGGTTGCTGAACTTCCTGTATGATATGCGAGGCCGCCGCTCGGTTGACCATCAACATTACATGTATTGTTGTTGATGCTCGGCTCGGTCGAAAAGATCAGGATGCAGGCAAGCTGATGACGTACGGCTTGGGAGCTGCGAGGGGCGCTACACGCATCCATACGTGCACCTACACGCGATCCTTCGATCGATCTTTCCTTGATCTGCCCACCCTACTGCGACGGCGACTGCGACTGCTACTGCGCGGGTGTACTTCAGCTTTCCGCTCCTTTGACGCCGCACAGTGCACCTTTCTTTCACCTTGCAACGAACACGAATTGATCCAGCGTCCGCTTGCACCACACTGACGCCACCTCGATATCGAATCCTTCCCAGGCGCCCACCGAACGAACCTGCGGGCGGCGAAGAGCATTGATTGAACGAAGACATACGAAGTCATATGATGAGATGACGATATATCACGGCCTCATATCCATACCATAATTACCTACACCCTAGGCGCTCTCCATCCAGCACCACCACGACACCTCCCCGGCCAGGGTAACGGCCACCCACCGCCGCCATGGTGTTGGAGAGTCTGGTCGCCAACTTGCTCAATCGCTTTCTGGGCATGTATGTGCGCAATTTCGATCCGAAGCAGCTGAATGTTGGTATCTGGTCAGGAGACGTCAAGCTGCGCGACCTCGAATTGCGGCGCGAAGCTCTCGATCAATTCCACCTTCCTCTGAACGTTGTCGAAGGCCATATCAGTAGTTTGGTTCTGAAGATACCGTGGTCGAATCTGCGTGGCCAGCCTGTGCGAATACAAATCGAAGATGTCTTCTTGCTGGCTGCGCCGAAGGAGGATCAAGAATACAATGCGGAGGAGGAAGAGAAGCGTGCACATGCCGTCAAGATGGAGAAGCTGGACAGTGCTGAGCTGCTGAAGGAACGCAATACTGAGGGCATGTCTCAAGAGGAGCAACAGAAGCAGCAATCCTTCACTGCCGCTCTCACTACAACCATTATCGATAACGTGCAGATCCAGGTCAAGAATGTGCATATTCGATACGAAGATGCACTCTCCGCACCAGGACATCCTTTTGCTGCGGGTTTGACGCTGCAGGAGCTCAGTGCTGTCTCCACTGACGAGAACTGGAAGCCCACATGGATCGCCGGCACCAGCGCCACCACACACAAGCTCGCCACATTGGGATCTCTTGCTGTGTACTGGGATACTGATGCAGAACTCCTGGGCAGCGGCACTGGCGAGCAGCAGGACCTCGACCATCAAGCGACCATGGACAAGTTCCGCGAGCTCATCATCAAGAGCGACAGTGAAGCGATCAAAGACCATCAATTCATCCTCAAGCCTGTTTCTGGTCGAGCTGGTTTGGAGATGGACAAGACCGGCAAGTACGATCGACCGAAGATGAAGGCACGTCTGCTGTTCAACGAACTTGGTTTCGTGTTGGACGATCAGCAATATCGCGATGCGCTTATGCTGGTCGATCTCTTCCATTACTTTATTCGGCATCAAGAGTACCGAAAGTATCAGCCGGAGAAATCGCCCAAGGAGGATCCGCGCGCCTGGCTTCAATTCGCTGCCAAGGCAGTGCTTGATCGAATACACGACAAAAACAAGCGCTGGTCGTGGGCGTTTTTCGCAGAACGACGAGATGACCGCAAACGATACATCGAGCTCTTCAAAAAGAAGAAGCGCGAAGAGAAGCTCACGCCGGAAGAAACCACTGATTTGGACAAGCTTGAACACAAGCTCACGTACGAGGATCTTCGCTTCTGGAGATCTCTGGCGCGAAATGAGCTGCGAAAGGAGGGCTTCAAAAAGCCGCAACCGCAGAAGTCCACATGGACAGGCTGGCTCTGGGGATCATCGAACCAGAAATCGCAGAGTGATACTGCTGATGATAGTCAGATGTCAGAAGAGCAACGAAAAGAGCTTTACGACGCCATCGCATTCGATGAAAAGAAGAGCATTGCAGAGTCGGTTGATGCACCTCGAGAAGCAGTCAAGATGCAAGTCGACATGAATCTGAAGACCGGTAGCTTCACGCTAAAGCGCGACCCACATGGCAAGAAGCAGGAAATGCTTCGGCTGCTGTTTGATGACTTTAGTACCGAGTTCATTCAGCGAACCGACTCCACTCTGGTCGATCTCAGCCTCGGAGGCATGCGTCTCTACGACGGCTCGACCGAAGGCAATCTCTTCGAGCAGATGCTCACAGTCAAGGATGCCCCTCCTGTTCCTGACAAAGACAGAGTTCAGGAGCTGGGTGAAGATGGCAAGCCAATCCATAACGATGAGGACGATGAGGAAGAACCTGATCCATTCTTCGCACTCACCTTCGAGAACAATCCGCTCGACCACCGTGCAGACACTGCCTTGACCGTGAAGCTCAAAGCTATGGAGATTGTCTACAACCCCAACTTTGTCGTTCAAGTCACGAAGTTCTTCAAGCCTCCAGAGAAACACATGGAGTCTATTGGAGCTTTGATGGAGTCGGCAGGCTCGACAGTCGAGGGGATCCGGCAACAGACGAGGGCAGGTCTAGAATTTGCTCTCCAAGAGCACAAAACTATTGACGTGCAGCTGGATCTGCAGGCACCTCTAATCATCGTTCCAGACACTGTCACCAAGAAGAGCACTATCTGTCTCATTCTAGATGCCGGTCATGCCAGCGTTCGAAGTGATCTGATAGACAAGGAGACACTGCATGACATTCAGAACAAGCAGAAGCAGCAGTACAGCGAGAAAGACTTTCAGAAGCTGGAGTCGCTTATGTACGATAAATTTCAGCTGAAACTGGAGTCGACACAGGTCCTCATCGGTACGACCGTCGAAGATACCAAGTCGCAGTTGGAAGAAAAGGCAGAATCTCGCAGCTACCATTTGGTCGACAAGATCAACATGGACTTCCAGATTGCTACCTGCATCATCCCGAAGGCCACCGATCTGACCAAGTTCAAGATATCTGGACACTTACCGCTACTCCGAGCCAAGTTCTCTGATGAGAAGTACAAATCGCTCATGAAGCTTCTCGACTTTGCGATTCCAAAGTTCGATCAAGACGAGACGGCGAAGAAGAAAGATCATCGTCTATCAGTCCAAGAAGACAAGCTGAAGGCCCGACGCAAGAGCGACGCATCGAGACCTCGCAGCAGGTCCTTCCAACCTGGTCAAGCAGATCTGGCAAATGAGGTCGAACAGGGCGCTGAGAAGAAACAGCGTGACCGGCAGCGAGGCGGCAGCAAAGAGCAAGCGAAGAAGGAGCAGGAGAAAAATCCAGCACAGCGCAACTTCGAGTTCAAATTTACCGTGGACAAGTTGCAGGGCTCTTTGTACAAAGCAGATCCGAAGGGCAAGGAAGATCGGCTGCTCGTTGATCTTATCGCCGAGACTTTCTTCTTAGAATTCTACCAGCGGCCATTTGACATGGTGGCCGACGTCCGCCTGCGCTCGCTGGCTGTCGAGGATCACGTCGAAGAGAGCCCCGCTGAGGAGTTCAAGAACTTGATCTCCAGCGAAGATCTTGTCACCAAGAAGCAACAAGATCTGCTCACGATCCACTTCCAGATGGTGAACAAGGATCATCCTGAATTCCAGAGCAAGTACGAGGGTATCAAGACCAATCTTGATGCTAACGTTTCCACCATCAACCTGATGGTCACTCGAAAGACACTTCTGACCTTGCTGGACTTTGTCATGGTCACCTTCGCGCCTCCGCAAGACGCGAACGCCCAGCAGAGCGCACCAAAGAAAGCACTTGAAGACATTGATGAGGAGAGCGAACTGCAAGAGCAGAGGCCTGAGGCTGCTGACAAGATTCGCATCAAGGCCAACTTGAACCGCATTGCTGTCATTCTCAACAATGATGGCATACGTCTGGCGACTCTCAGCTTAACTTCTGCCGAAGTCAACGTCTTCCTCATGGGCAAGAAGATGAAAGTCGACGCCAGATTAGGTGCTCTTGACCTTGTTGATGATGTCAATCTGGGCGTCTCAGAAAACTCTGCTCTGAGACAGTTGGTCTCGATACAGGGCGATGACCTCGCTGACTTCAAGTACGAGACATACGATTCCGAAGCCTCAGACTATCCCGGGCATGATAACTCGATCTTCCTCCGCTCAGGATCGATCAAGGTCAATTTTGTCACTGAGCCATTCCGAAAGATTATGGAGTTCGGTGTCAAATTTGGCAAGATGCAGGCCATCTTTAATGCTGCGAGACAGGCTGCTGCAAATCAAGCGACAAAGGTGCAAGAATCTGCTGGCAAGATGCATTTCGACATCCTGATCAAGACACCTATCGTTGCGTTTCCGCGCATGGTCATTACTGACAATCCCGAGCGTGACACGGTGACTGCATATCTCGGTGAGATCTACGCCAACAACAAGTTTGTGCCGCTTGAAGGAGACGATGCAGGTGATACCGCCAACAAGCTGTCCGCTGGAGTTCACAACATTCGCTTGACCACGAACTTCCACTATGCTGCGAAGCAATCGGAGGAGCTTGAGATGATAGACAAAGTCAATCTTGACTTCAACATCACGCAGACGGAGCACAAGCCAGGCCGAGACCGGCCAGACATGGAGATTGAGGGATCGATGTCGAACATCAATATGCGCCTCACTGAAGCCCAGCTCAAATTCGTTCTTGAGCTGTCCAGAAACATTCCACAGGCGTTTGCACTTGAGGACTCCGATGAACTGGAGGACCAGGCAGAGGAAGAAGTGCAAGACGATATTGTGGAGCAAGCGCAAGCAGTGCAGTCCACCAACGGGCAAAAGACACCGCCGAAGGTCGAAGTGACGAAGCCGACACACCTATCACCTGAGCTAGGCACAGATGAGGACGCATGGACGAAGCTCGACCTGATCTTCAAGGTCGGCGCTATTGGTCTTGAGCTAATCAAAGGCGAAGGCGATAAGCCAGTCGGTGATCTCGAAGCTGCCAGTCTCTCGAAATTCTCGCTCAATGAGACAAGTGTTAAGCTGCGCATGATCAGCGATGGTGGCCTTGAAAGCGAGCTGCTCGTGCAGTCCTTCACCATCACTGACACACGTACGCGCGAAAAGAACAAGTTCCGCAAGATCATGTCGTTGATCAATGACGATGTCAAGCAGCAATTTATGGCCAGCGTGTCGATATCTGGCGGCAGCGAGAAGCACTTGATTGCTCTGCTTACGATTGACAGTCCACGGATCATCTTGGCCCTCGACTACTTATTCGACGTTCTGAACTTTGTGCAGAATGGTTTGAAGCAGGATGCGCCACTTGTCGTCGAGGAAGAAAGTGACCAGTCGGAAGATCCTGCCAGCCCTGACGATGCTAGCATCTCAACTCAAGAGCTTGTGGATCGCAAGCGTGCCGAGCATGAACAGAAACAAGAGGATGAGCCTGCAGGCATGAGTATCTCGTACCGCGTTAATATGGTGGATGTCCAGGTCATACTCATCGCAAACCCAACCATCAGCAATTCTGAAGCGATTGTTCTCAGCACCAAGCAGGTCTTGGCTTCCCAGCAGCACGCCATGACTTTGCAGGTAGAGAAGGTCGGCATGTTCCTCTGCAGGATGGACCAATTCGAGACCAACCGACTTCGCATCCTTGACGACTTTAGCATTCAAACGTCGCTGGATATGCGCTCGCAAAGTCGCGACTCTTCCTTGACAAGCATGCATGTCGACATTGAACCGCTAGTGCTTCGTCTCTCGTTGCGCGACATTATGCTCGCAATGCAGATCTTCAACCGGGCTTCTGCGATGTCCGGCGGCGGCGACAAGAAGATGGACGAAGAAGGCCCGAAGAAACTAGAGCAAGTCAAGAAGCAATCTGCAAAGTCTCAGAAGCAAGCCAAGTCTACCAAGCGCACCGCTGCGTCAACGTCGAAAGTGCAATCACAAAGCATCAGCACGAAGAAGACAAGCCAGAAGTCTAGCCAAGAGCAAGCTGCTGGGCCTGGCTCCGCTGTCTTGAAGCGGGAGGAGATGAAGGTCTCGATGGCTGGTATCCGTGTGGTGCTGATTGGAGACTTGCATGAATTGCCAATGCTCGACTGGAGCGTCAAGAAATTCGACGTGGATGTTCGTGACTGGACGGGCAACATGACTGCCGATACCAGTCTCGACACTTTCTTCAATGTCTACAACTTCTCAAAATCTGCTTGGGAACCACTCATTGAGCCTTGGCAGATGGGCTTCCACATGAGCAAAGAGACGAATCCAGACAAGCTCAGTGTCGAAGTGTACTCACGAAAGAGTCTTGAGCTTACCGTAACATCAGCGACGATCGCGCTTGCGTCGAAATCTGCTCGGTTCTTTAGCAGCGACGAGGATGTCTTGAGCAAGCCACGCGGTAACGACGCGCCATACCGAGTTCGCAATTGGACTGGCTTCGACGTGCATGTCTGGGCGAGCTCGGATTCCTCCGGTGATGATGAAGGACAAGCCGCGAAGCTGAGTGATGGCGAAGAACAGCCATGGCGCTTCGAGGACCCGACTACGACTCGTGAAACGCTGTCTCCGGAAGGCCAGACTGGCGTGATCGGCATCAGACTGGAAGGCAGCGGCTTCGACAGCATTGATCGCATCCAGGTCAATCGTGAGGGCGAGTCGCTTTACAATTTGAAGCCTCGCAAAGATAAGATCCAGCATCGCATGCTTGTGGAGGTCACTCTGGGAACAGACAACGTCAAATACATCACCCTGCGATCGCCGATGCTTGTGGAGAACCACACGCAAATACCGGTGGAACTCGGTATATACAGTCCTGATGAAGGCCACCTGATCAAAATCGAGAAGATTGCGCCTGGCGAGTCTCGGCCGGCTCCTGTGGGTGCGGCATTCATGCACTCTCTGGTTGTGAGGCCGGATCAAGGCTTTGGCTACACTTGGTCGAACGAGCGCCTGCACTGGAAAGAGCTCCTCAAGCGACCTGTGCGAGCACTTACTTGCCACGGCGAGCAAGACGCAAGCTCTCCATCGTTCTACTTCCAGATGCAAGCAGTTTTCGACAAGAACAATCCGCTCACTCAGGTCTATCCATATATGCGACTCCGGCTGACTGCGCCAATCGAGGTGCAGAACTTGCTTCCCTTCGACTTCAAATACCGCATCTACGACAGAAACACTAAGAAGGACTGGACCAACTTCCTACGCAAGGGTGGCGTCAGCCCAGTCCATGTGGTAGAGCTCTCTCACTTGCTGCTGATCAGCGTCGATATGCAAGACACTCCTTTCAAGGCAAGTGAGTTTGCTATCATCAATTCGGGCAACGATCGTGACTTCAAGCGGGAGAAGACTCTGAAGGTGCAAGACAAAAACAATCTAGAGCTGCGTCTCAAGATCCACTACTTCAACGTTCCAGACAGTGGCGGGGCCTTCAAGATCACGATATACAGTCCGTATGTCATACTCAACCGCACTGGACTTGAGCTCGATATCAGAAGCAAAGCGTACTTCGGTGCCACAAAGTCTGCTGCAGGTCAATTTGCAGACACGGAGGATGACGGTCAGAAGGCGCATCCATTCATGTTCTCCTTCCCGACGGACGATCAAAAGAATCGCGCGCTCATCAAAGTCGGGCAGTCTGCCTGGAGTCAACCGATCTCATTCGACGCGATCGGAGCGAACATTGATGTCAAGCTGCCGGCGGAGTCAGGAAGATCTGAAATGCATTGCGGTCTGAGTGTGACAGAAGGCGAGGGCAAGTACAAGCTGACCAAGGTTGTCAGCGTGACACCACGATTTATCGTCAAGAACAAGCTGTCAGAAGACATTCAGATCCGCGAACCAGGATCATCTGATGCCGCGACTTTGACGCCTGGCGAATTGCATCCTCTTCGCTTTCTCAAGCAGACGACCGGCCAACAGCTGAGCTTGTGCTTCCCTGGCGTTAACAATTCTTGGTCCTCGCCGTTTGACATCGCAAACGTGGGAAGCGTGCACGTCAAGCTTGCCAAGGCCGGTGAGAGGCAGAAGCTCATTCGTGTTGAGATCTTGATGGAGCACGCGATGATCTACCTTCATCTCAGCCTAGAAACGAAGCATTGGCCATTCTCGATGCGAAACGAGAGTGACCAAGAGTTTCTGTTCTGGCAGGCCAACCCCCATGTTGACGAGGACGAAGAGGATAGGACTTCTGGGTGGAAGCCAATCCGGTATCGCTTGCCTCCGAGAAGCATTATGCCATACGCGTGGGACTACCCTTCCACCAAGAACAAGAACCTCATTCTTTCTGCCAATGGCAAGGAGCGACATGTCAAGTTGGCTGAAATTGGCAATCTCATTCCCATGAGAGTTCCTGCAAAGGCCGATGGAGGACAACAGAGACCGAAAATCATCGACTTGAATGTCGTTGCAGATGGCCCTACTCAGACGCTTGTCATGTCCAATTACAAACCGCATAATAGCTTATACAAGCAAAAGTCAGCCTCGGCAAGTCAGAGTACTACGGCAGGCTTCGAAGTCAAGGAACAAGACACAAATGTCACAATGCGGGCTAGTGTTCGCTTTGCGGGCATTGGAATTTCCTTGGTCAACTCACAGCTGCGAGAACTGATCTACGCTACGTGGAGGGACATCGAGCTCAAGTACACCGACTCGCCACTTTACCAGACAGTAGCATTGACCATCAAGTGGATCCAAATCGACAACCAACTCTACGGTGGCATCTTCCCGCTGCTCTTCTATCCATCAGTTGTGCCCAAGACTGGCAAGGAGATGGAAGCACATCCGATTTTCCGTACGACTGTCACAAGAGTCAAGGACGACTCGTATGGAGTTCTGTATATTAAGTACTTCACGTTCCTGATGCAGCAGATGACCATCGAGATCGACGAGGATTTCATCTTCGCCGTTCTGGACTTCACGAAGGTACCTGGTGCCTCCTGGACAGAGGAACAAGAAGGACAGCTTGCTCCAGAATCTCTCGACGTGCCGGAGCCTGAGCAGGCGCAGTCTGGCCAAGACATTTACTTTGAACTGCTTCATCTTCAGCCAATGCAGTTCGATCTGTCGTTCGTCCGTACTGAGCGCATCAATGCGGAAGACACCGGCTCTAGCAGCAGCAACCCGTTCATGTTCGCAGTCAATGTCCTGACAATGTCCATTGGCAATGTCAACGATGCACCGATCCGCTATAATGCTCTGATGCTGGAGAATGCTCGGCTGTCCACAGGAGCTCTGATCTCGAACATCCGAAGTCACTATGTACAGGAGTCTCTCAGGCAGGTTCACATAGTGATTGGATCTGCTGACTTCCTCGGCAACCCCGTTGGTCTCTTCAACACCATCTCTTCTGGCGTTGCAGACATCTTCTACGAGCCGTATCAGGGTCTTGTTACTGACAGGCCCCAAGATCTCGGCGTTGGCATCGCAAAGGGAGCTAGCAGTTTCGTCAAAAAGAGTGTTTTCGGTCTCAGTGACAGTGTAAGCAAGTTCACTGGTTCGATCAGCAAGGGTTTGGCAGCCGCCAGTATGGACAAGGAGTTCCAAGATGCACGACGAATGTCGAGATGCAGAAATCGTCCGAAGCATGCGCTTTACGGCATCACGTCTGGTGGTAACGCTTTCGCCTCGAGCTTGGCTTCTGGTATTGGAGGTCTTGCAAGACAGCCTTTGCAAGGTGCTGAGAAGGAGGGAGCTGCAGGCTTCGTAAAGGGTGTCGGCAAGGGTCTCCTTGGACTGCCTACGAAAGCAGCGATCGGCGCATTCGACCTCGCATCCAGCATGGCCGAAGGCGTGCGAAATACAACCACTGTCTTCGATCAGGAAGGTCTTGATCGTGTTCGATTGACAAGATTCATTGGTGTTGACGGCATCGTGCGACCATACTCACAGCGCGAGGCTCTCGGACAGTTCTGGCTGAAGACCATGGACAACGGCAAATACTTCAATGAGAGTTACATTGCCCATCTCGAGCTCAACTCCGGCAGTCAAGGCGACTTACAGAGATCGAAGTCCAACCAGTCCCTCTCTTCCCCTACTAGCGCGAGACCATCCCAGCAGTCTGAGGCGACGATGTTGGTCATGGTGACCTACAACGCTATCATGCTTGTGCGCGCTAAGCGCCTCACCAGCGAATGGGAAGTCCCTTTGAAAGACATTCAGACCATTTCCAAGGAGAGAACAGGAATAAGTATCATTCTCAAGGGAGGCACGAACGGACCTTTCGTGCCCATCGCCGACGAACAGTCCAGGAACTGGTTGTACAGGCAAGTGGCAGTGGCCGTCAACGCCTATAATGATCGTTGGAATGCAAAGGGTTAAGTGATATGAGAGTGGTTTCAGCAGGCATCAAAATGGCATTCAAGGCAAGGCATCATGGTGGAAATATCAGAACCTGAGACAGCACACCTGGGGCAAGGCACGGCGTTTTCATTGCATTAGCGCATCGGCATGAGCGATCTTCAATTGGCCTCCTCTCCTATCATATCAAATCTATCCAAAACCGTTTCATGATCCTACTACAACAATCCTCACCAACTCATCCAAACACCCTGACCCTTCTCCTCCTCCTCCCTCCTCGCAACAGCCTCTTCATGAAACTCCTTCCACCCCCAACAACTCCACTCATACGGCACATCTCTCTCAAACTCTCCATACGTCTCCTCCCCACTCGTCTCCCTTCCTTCCTCCACACACACAAACCCTTTCCCTTCCATCTCCTCCCACAACTTCCTCGCATGCTCTACATACGCCATGCGCAAAGGATAACAGAAAATCGCTCGAGCATTGCGGTCTTTCTTCAGCCATGCGAAAACTGTGGAGGCTATTAAGACTGGGTGCGAGGTTGTGTAGCATGTGTCTGCTGCTAGGATTATTGAGGCGGAGGTTGGAGGGGTCGAGAGGGTCGGGAGGTGCAGGGTTTTGGGTGATGTCCAGTCGAGAGAGCCGGAGAGACATTGGTTTTGCTTGCTGTTGAGGGATATGTTCACGTCTATCCCCGGCAGTATGGAGGGTAGGTCTGTGAGGATTGCTGGCAGGGACCAGAGATTTGAGGCCGTGAGGCCTGTGAGTCCCGTTCCGGCTCCCAATTCGAGGATCGGGATGGGATCGAAGATTTGAGGAGGTTCTTTTTGTTTTTGTAGGGTTTTCACCCATTCTGCGGTTTTCCATCGATGGAGGAGGTTGGCGAGCACTGCTGATGCTCCCCAGGTGGCTAGGCTGAGATTTTCTGCTTTTATGCCGGCGAGTTCGCGGATTTGGATTGAGATTGTTGGGGAGTTTGAGGCGGAGGTTTTGATTTGGAAGGTGCGATGGGGGGAGGTTGACATTTTGAGATTGGGGGGTTTTTTTTCCTTTCTTTCTTTCTTTCTTTCTTGTAGATTGAATGTAAAATGTTTTTTGTGGTAGATTTTGTCTGGGAATTTGGTCTTTAGTGAAGCTTAGGCCGCCTTGGTGCGCTATTCCTCTTCGGGGGCTTTGCGAAAGGTAGTCTAAGGCAGTATCTAGACTTTCTACTAGATGTAAGATACTAGCTCTATTACTAATACTATAAAAATACGCCGATTTAGAAGGTTTAAACCTAAAAATACTCAAATATAAGTATAGTAAAAGAACCTGTTAAAAGACAGTACTCTATATAAGAAATCAAGCCGAAAAATACAGGAGCCGTGGAAGTGCTAGGATATTCTAGCTTGCAAAAGGGCCCGGACTAATTTTAGCTAGGTTTAGCCTAACCTACCTCTATCTTCCTCTAACTATCCGACGCGACTATTATATGTTTACATACGCGTTTTTTTGCATAGAATGGAGCATAATACCATCCCTAAGACTTAGTCTAATAGTAGAGACAGTATTACTATAGAAACTATAGATTTTCTAAGCAGTCTACCCGTATTGTCTTCTTAGGTGCCTAAACCGCCCCTATATACCTAAACACAAACCTGCGCTTTTTAGGACTAGTCTCTACTACTGTAGTAACAATATATATAGTATCTACCTAATACTATTCTATTTAATAAGCAGGTGTTTTAGTAAGAGCTATATAGTCTACGAGCTACCGAGGCATTTAATAACCTAGAAACACAAGACGACGGCGTACGGTTTAGCTAGTAGCTTAGGTCTTTATACAACACTAACACTAACACTAACAACGACAACGACAAGGAAAACAGACTGCTAGGTAAAGAGTCTAGTAAAGAGGATATACTAAGAATGCATATACGCTCGAAAGGGGCCGCAGAACTAGTGCCTTCTAATCTAGAGAAGGCTTCTTAGATACTACCTCCTCCTACTATCGAGGAGCCTCCTATCCGTAGGACTACGGTTCCGCCGAGACTATTAGATGCACTAAAGACTATACTAAAAGCCGTGCCTCGTAGAACCAGTTTGCCTGCTAAGAGGGGGCAGTATAGTATACGATAGAGCATTAAGAAAGAGCCGGAGGTTTTAGAGGTACCGACTGCGGGTATAAAGCTAGCTTCTACGCGTAAGCGTAAATCGACTAAGGGCATAACACTACGAAACAAGACACGTAGAACATTATCTAAACGGCAGAATAATAGCGCCGACCTATCTGATAAACCTCCTGCTTAGCCTATATCGACATCTAATAGCGTTGTTAAGAAATCGCACTTAGACGCTAGCTTATAACGCCGACCGACTTTACGAGCGCCTAAGTAGCTACCGACCTCTTAACTAACCCCGAAACTACGCAATCGAAAGCTATTTAGTGCTAACCTTATATAGGTTGTCTAGTATCGAATAGATAGCAAGCAGCACTATATTATAACTATTAATAATATGCTAGAAGACGACGATATCGACTTTGCGTATTTAAGGCCTTGTAACAATAAGATAGCGTAGTTAATATAGAAGGTTAAAGACAGAGTAGCTTTATAGGTCTTTATTAAAGGACTCGGCTTACATTAACAGCTAGACCGTATATTTACTATCTATTGCTTAAGGCTATCTATACCTAAGCGCGAGAAGGTGTTTAACAACATTATCTACGAGGACGATTACTACGAAGAGGTAGCTAAATTCCTGCGCTACTGCGCTAATACTAGTATATATTGTATAATTAAGGTACTCGAGAGTTACAAGCGCGTTACTGTATCTACTCGACTATTAACACCGCCGGAAAGTGATTAATTCATTAAGATTAATAGTAATCTATTAGAGCCGCCTACCTCTTAGGTTAAGAACAGCCGTAAGAATACTAATAACAAGACTAAGGAAGATAGCCGTAAGGACGACGAGGTATTCTCGTCGGTCTTTAAACTGTTCGAATGTAGTAATCCGCAGTATAACAATAAGAAGCTTAGTCGTAGAATTAGCTGCTATAGGCGCCGTAGTATATACTATAGTGTAATAGGCTCTTACGCGAAGGAATTTGCTAATATAGTGCGAGTTAATTTAGCGCTTCTATACTATATGCCTACAGAAGTTGCCGACAAGATTATAACCTCTTACGACGAGTATATATAGGCAAAGTTAGCTGCTTCTGCTAAGAATAAGACGGCTTAGCAATAGCAGACAATCGATAGTCTCGTAGGCGCACTTACTACCGAGCGCTAGCAACCTACAGCTAGTAATAGCAGCGAGTCTGTGTTGCTAATAGCCTTGCTTTAACAACAACAGCAACAGTAGCAATAGCAACAATAGCAGCAACAGTTCAACCCCTTCCTATTATAGATAATAATAACTAATCCTGCTATACTAGGCGCTCTGTAGCCTTAATAGCAAGTCCAATCTTTACTATAGCAATAATAGCTCCGCAGCTTACTAGTGCCGCCGGACATTAGCACTATATTAAGTAACTACGTAGAGACACCTCTCTACCTAGCCTAGTTCTTTTAACAGCATCCTATATAGTAGGACAGATAGGAAGCTATTACTAAGGCTATTATAGAAGACGCCTAGAATTTGAAACAGCTCCGACGACAAGAGAATAAGAATAGGTTAGTAAGGGTAGTGCCTGCCTTCGGCATAAGACAGGCGCTTCGTAAGCGAGCTATAGACTATGCTATACTGCGCTAAAGTAGTCGAAATTAAGGGGCGTAAAGCTAATATAATAATAAGCTAGCTTTGCTAACCCTAGCTATATAGATTACTACAACTATCTATCTAATTTTTGTTCTATAACTTAGAGGTATAAGGGGTAGTACTATAGATCGATCGCGTGCTTTATTTAGATTAATTTAGATATAGTATCGTTGAGTTATAGCGCTATATAGGTGTTGAATTATTGATAGTTCTATGTTTAACCTCACATTTGCTATTCTGTGTCGCACCTCGGCTTTCTCTACGACCTTCAAGCCTAGCCGATAATACTAGTTTTGTTTATCGACGTATTGTACTACAACTATACATCCGATTTATATCGTTGTTTTTTTATATAAGAGCGCCGCACTCATTCTCGAATTGCCGACTATAATAATAATAATAATGTAGTATTGTTGCGATGATATATAGCATTTAGCTAAACGTCGGCTATTTTCAAATTTAGTCCGATCTACTAAGCCCCGCAATTGCGATACCTCTAGGAGACAGTGTAGTAACTGCTAATAGCAACAATATAACTAACAACCGTTAGAAGTTATTCAGAGGAGAATCTAGCATTAATCTACTAGCAAATTACTATAATATATAAGGTCTTAGCACTCTATATACAAACGGAGCCGGAATTTAGTACACACTACAATCACTGCCGCTTATTCTATATCTCGGCTAGCATTATTAGACTATATTTATATAGTTTCTCGAGCACTTTACAATACTTGAACTAAGCCAAGTAATCGATATTATTACCCTATCGTTTACAAGCCAGTTCTAGGTACGACTAGAAGTCTGCCTGCTAGTAAGGTAATCTATACTTAGGCATTGTTTACTAGTTCTTCTTAATCTAGTGCTTTAGGTACTTAAAGCTCAACTTAATAGCGTTATAGTTAGGCGAATATAGTAGAAGGAAGAGCAGGTATACACCCTTCGCTAAGCACATCTCCTTTAGAATAGCTCTTAAATAGGTGCTATAGTTGTCTAGCAATATTACAGACCGTAGACCTAGATATAGCGTATAGCGTAGCAATACTCGATAGCGTACGAAGGCTATAAAGTCGTAACTATTAACACTGCCTTGCTAGATTAGTAGCTCTAGAAGATAGCTATTAATCGTATATACTAGAAGGATCGTATATCGCTACGAGTAGTGTAGGTGTTAGCTGTCTCTTGCTAGTATGCCTTTTAGTAACTATCTACGCCTCCGAAGGGCAGTCTTATCTAAAGTATAAGACTCGTTAAGGCATATAATTTAGAAGGCCGCAAATAACTGTAGTTTGGCCTTAAATAGAGCCCTTGCTATCGGGTCTCTTTGTAAAGCCGTACGAGATAGCAGTTTGTTAGTGAAGTCACTGCTTAATAAGCAACGACTAATAGTAGATCGCGATACCTATTCTTAGTGATTTTCTAGCAATATTATCTGCATCTCTTCTAGCTAGTATATGCTTCTTATTGTTAAGAACTCTAACAGGTCGTCTCGTATAGCTAGTGTAATTATATGCGGTCTACTACCCTTTACTAGAAATATATTAGCTGTCCGATTCTACCTAGTTATCCGTGTCCAAATAGTAGTGCAAGAGCTACGTCTATCGCGGAGCAATAACCGTACAATATCTCTACTCTTCTAGCCTTTATCTAATGCCTATTGAATTATGTTCTCGTCTTATATAGTAAGTAGAGCTATAGAATAGATTTGGTAGATTTAGATTGGTGTATAGACCGAGGGCTGCGGCTTTAGGCAAATAGGTACTAAGAATACGGCTTTTAGGCAGATGCGCTACGAACAATACTATTATAGGTGTTAGAAACATAGAAGAGGACTGACAATACAATGTAACATACTATACTGCAGTTTCCGACCGTAGAATTAGTGTGTTTGGTGAGATATAGTAGTATAGCTATTAGAAGAGACGTGAGGTAGTAGCCCTCGTTCCCCCCGAAAAACAGTCCGGGCCCTTTTGCAAGGCACCAATATGTGGTTGGATAAGGATCCTAGTTATAGCCGGCTGTCCGGCTTTGCAATATAGACGCAGACAGGTGCCACGCTGGCTAAGCGCCCAAATACTCGCTTACGCAAAATACTCTACAGTCAGCTTATCGCGATGGATTCCTTAGGTGTCTTACGTGCTCATCTGTTCACTGTGCCTCGCACCTGGATAATCGTTGAGCTCCGAGCAGTTTAGTTCTATATAGGCCACCTCGCCCGCCATAGTCTCTTCCCTGCAGAACAGTCCTCATGACATTCTAGTACCCACGCTCTTGATCCCAGAGTCTCTTACGATGTGTACTGAAATCAAACCCGCGCCGCGTCGATTCACCAAATGTGGCCACACCGTCGACATACCTGAAGGCGGTAGAAACCTCTTGAAATGCGACTCTGCCCTTCTTAGTGGCACACAGTGCCAGCCATTGAAGAATGGTTCGCAGGGTTCCAGCACCGACAGACAATACAAATGCCCACAATTCAGAAGGGTGGGTTTTAGCAGCCATCGTCTTGTGTTCTACTCCTAGCATCAAGCAGGCGGAAGCACAGGTGATGAGGAACGGTCGCTGACTGCTGCTTGAGTATTGCTTGGGATCTGAGATTCGAGTGGTTTGGCGGACGAAGAAGTGTTTGCACACAGACGGATCTCTAGTGCGAATTCTTGGATGGTCGTGTATTCCCGGTTCCAGCACGCGCGTATTATCTGACCAAAGTCGAGTCCTTCTAAGTCCGGTATTTGATCAATGGTTGGCCATTCTGATTCTATCGCGCAGTCGACAGAGAACGTTTGCCAGGTCATGATAGAGTAGATAACATTGGCAAGGTGAAAGAGATCCAATCTAACTGTGCAGCCATCCAAATTTGCTTCGGTGATATTCACACCTTGTGGGACTAGCGAACTGTTTGCGAAATCGATTATTCGCAGACTGAAGTCATCCGCGAGGAGGAAGTTACGCAGAGCAATGTCGAAGACAAGGACCCCTCTTTCATGGCAGTGTGCAATTATTTCTGTCGCCTCCAGGACCCAGCGCCATCTCCAGGGCATCGATGGCGGTTTATGGCAAGAAATGTATTCACTCAAAGCTCCGTTCCGATAGTACTTGAGCAGTATGCCGTTGCTCGTACACTCAATGCATTCAGCAACACCTGGCACGCCGCGTAGTCTTTCGTAGGCTTGTATCTCTAGCTCTAGATGGTTGAGATGGAAGTCGTTCTCGCTGTCTGCCTCGATCGTCCCGTCAGAGAGCAGGCGTCCGAAGAGTTTGGGAGCTTTCAGCACATGGCTTCCGTTACGAATAATGAAGCCGTCAATGCCGCTACCGATCAAGTCTGCTGCATCAATGCGGCGACCGTCGGCGAGGAGGATGCAGTCCACCGTCATGAGGTAAATTGACAACGTCGATTGAAGGTGGTGTCTTTGGCAGCTGTAACAACTCACGGCTGTGGAAAGGCCATGCCGATACAAGGTTCGACACACTCAGGAGGGCAGTCTGGGAAGAAGCTGCGGCTCAAGACCTAAGATGGGGCAAGGCAAGGAAGCAAGGAAGATGGGATGAGATTCCACTTCACGCGCTGTCGCTTGTGACGCTCGGAACGGGCCGTCGCGGCTCGGTACGCGCGTTTCTTGTAGCTCTCTTCCCTTCCCTCGCACATATCTCTACATAGCTTCGCGAACGACTTAAGTTACAAACATGATCATACGCTCGACTCGTCACACCTCGTTCGCCATTGTGTCACGAAGTACGACGCTGCTGATACCGCCTACGAGAGGCAGAACCACAGGACACGCGGCTAATTGAGCTCGGGTCGGCCAAGAGTTTTTCCGGGACAGGAATACGACTTCAGCTTCCACTTAGGGAACTTCTCCTCCTGCTTTGCATCTCAATTCTCCTAAATCGCGGAATCCAGCACTTTGGCCATCGGGCGAGCTCATAACGGCGCTGAGTCTGGCCACCACTCGACTACCGCCTCCACCTTGCAGTTGCAGTTGAAGGTCGAGCAACCAGAGCGCGTCATCCGTGCACCGCAGGAAACGGTCTCGATGCCCTCACGAGTAGCAGCAGCTTTGGGCTTGAAAAGGTGTAGCCCACTGAGAAGACATAGTCACTTCGTGTGCTGTAAAGGATCTCAGAAAAAGGTTGTTGAATGACCCGATTCGCAACATTGAAACACTGCTTGCTATGGGCGTCGCCCAGAATTTGCTCATGGCTGCCGCAGTGCTGCAGGTCTTTTCGCCGACGTTTGAGTTCGAACCTCAAGATGGCAGGTAATGTGGTTGAGTATAGTACTACAAGGTTTCCGCTGTTGTCAGAACTCGCAGAGAGATATGCTGTCCGGTCTCCCAAGTCCAGCCATACCGCATGGGAAGACCACACGCAGCAGATGCGCAGCTTGAAACAGGTGTGCTTTGCTCAAACCGGTAGTATAATATGTAAGACTGCAATATGCTCGCCTCAAGCTATACGTTCTGCCCTTCACTGATTTCCTTATACTGGCAGCTCAAATTTATCGTTCGACATTTTCCAGTCAAACATGCGCGGCAAACATCGGAGTGTCCCGAGATCTATTCGTTCACTGTCACATGGAGTTCGTCACATGCAAGTGACTGTTTGCCAGGCGCCCTGCTTCACTTGAGTAGGACTACAACCGTGTTCAATCCAATAATGCAACATCCACCACTCGCGAACACTACAAAGCATTGCAGACTCGCAGTCATACAACCCTTAGCAGGCGAAGCAATCACATCGGGGCAATACCGCAACACCGTGGGAGGTACTCTACCACGAGTACCCGCTTGTGCTACATCCCACTACGCCGTGCGACCGCGACTTGACAAATGACCTCTTCGACTTCGGATTCGATCTAGCAGCAAAGGCGATCAGTCACGGTGGTCCTTTCAGACCATTCTTACCAGCCGTGTAACGGCTGACTGCGCTTGTCTGTCCAGCATCAACGCTGTAATCAGGTCACAATACCACCACGAGAGTACCGCTCGGAGCAGACCAAAGGTCAAGTATGAATACTTGCTTCTCTCGTTGCCGCTTAATTGCGCTCGCAGCGATTGCCACGGTCATTGCCCTGCTGATTACTTCTATCTCATATGATACCTTGCGCAATACGGATAGACTCCACCCGCGCTCGCTGTGGCAGCATGTCCCAGCGCAGTCCGAAAAGTCCCTTCTAACACCCAGCATCATCGAAGATGACTTCTTCAACAGCTCGCGAGGTTCTGCACTTGTTGCCAAGCATGCTCTCATTAGGCGAGCGCCAAAACCTATCAAGCCTGCGGGCGAAGAGGCATATGATAAGGCTGAACAGAAAGGCAAGATGCTCATGTGCTGGATGGAGAATCCATTGCTAGCAGGTGACCTGGCGACCAGCAAGTGGACAAAATGGGAGCAGCTGGCGGAATGGGGCTGGACTGGACCTGGTGGGGGCAGCAATCCTATCGGCGGTAACTACGGCGGCGAGCATGACACTCTGATTGCTGATCTTTTGGGAGATCGAAACCCAAGAGAGCAGGACTTGAGCATCGCGAAGACGGTCCGACTGTATCACAAGAAAGAGCATGCTGCTGAGACCATCGATGGAGTGACATACAACTATCCTGTAAGTGTTTATTGATACACAACAAGCCGTGCAGTTTGACTGACGAATGCTAGCCCACAGATGCGACTTACGAGAACAACATGTATCCCAAGCAAGGCGTAATTGTGGCCGACTTCAACTATGGCCCCAAGTATCAAATCGACAACGAAGCAACGCCGAAGCGGAAAGACTGGAACAAGGCTACTGATCGCGGTCCTAAGCTGAGTCAGCTCTCCGACGTCTGGTGGCTCATCTGGGACAAGATCACAGCCAACGACGCAACCCTCCGCAAAGGTTTACGCTATATCGTCCAGCACAACGTCGTCAATCCAGACTCGCATGCGATTCTCGCCAAAGTGCTCATTGACCAGAAGCAAATCTCAACCGGCCTTGCTCCCGGAGGCACAGGCGTAATAGTCAAGAGAGAAGACGAAGGTTTCGCTGCACTTTTGGGCATGAATAATGTCTGGGGTGTTCCATTCCTGCTGATTCAGCGGAGCGGCGAGCTTGGGAGGAAGAGAATCAAGCAGATCACTGTGTGGAGTGAGAATACTCTTAACCTTTAGCAACCAAATCTCATCATTGAGTTGGAGAACATACCGGATGAAGAGTGAATGGTGGTAGACTATGGTGTTACTGGCAGCTTTGAGGCTCGAATCGATGGCTCACTTTACACGATACAACTAGAAATCTAGCTCTGCTTCCACAGCCCTGCAACGCGAGCGCGGGATGTGGCAGACGACTCAGCACTCGATGCCAAACCGGAGTTCTGGTGAAGTAGAGCAGGTTATCAGGTCCAATACATTCTGCGATTCTGGTGTTTCTGCTGGCCCCAGCACTTTTGCCCATCCATCGGGCTGCGGCAAACTCATCCTAGCAATTCAAGTTGATCAACCGTTTGCAACGATACCTTTGAGCATGAAATTACACAAAATTCTTCATACAAAACCAAGACCGCAGAAAAATGTCCAAACGCCGTTAATGATGCCTGCCTGCTGGATGATATGCCCACCTCCCCGACCTAGGGAGAGACCTTGCACTCGCACGATCATACTCCAAGCGATGTGGCTCTTTCCGAGCATCTCTGTAATCGCGACTGTCATAACTTTCCTCCGACGACGATCGCGAGCCTTTTCGAGAGGACCTGTCATATCGTCTACTGCGCCCTCGTGATCGTCCGGAACTTCTACTGGAACTGCCATGGCTTCCGCCGTCTTTGTTGTCCTGCTGCTTCTGGCTTCCACCGCCTCCTCCCCCGTTGGCGCCACCCGCCTTTTGGGTACCGCCCCCGTTCTGCGCTGCCTGAGCTGCTTGCGCTTTCTTGCCGAAGCGCTTTTTGGTCATGTACAATGACAAACCTCCACCAATGAGGTCGAAGCAGCCTAGCAAGATGCCCACATTGAAAGGCGTAATGTACTCATCGAACTTTGCGAGGCCTGTTTTCTTCTCCTTTTCTTGTTCTTGGTCTTGTTGTTGCTCTTGTTGCTTCTGTCCGCTATTATTGCTCTCCTTGTCCCTTTCTCGTCTGCGACTTCGACTACGGTGGTCGCGCCGCCTTCGGTCGTGATACGAATCGTCGGAGTCGTGGGAAGCACGAGATGAGCGACCGCGCCGCTCCCGATTACTTCTGTGTCGCTCGCTGTGCATGTAATCTGGAACTGCCAGTCGATCGTCATCTAATCTGCCCTTCGTCGTCCCATGCACGCTGTTTCTTTGGCTATGACGGCTGCGATTGCTGCCGTTGCTGTGGCTGTTGCTGTCCGGTTTGTATACTGGGGCTTGTGGGTAGGTTTCGTAAGGATTCTGGTAGGAGTTTGTGTAGATTGGCCTATAGTCGCCCATATCCTCTTGCTGTTCTCGCTGCCGCGATGGCTGTTTCTTGCCTACCACTGCAAATTGCGGCGGCACAGCACCAGCTGCGGCGTTCATTGAACTTGTCCAGTCGCATCAGTCGACTTGCGCGCGACCAAAGGAGAAAAGGCAGAGGCACGAAGTGTAGTTGTCCAGGCGCAGAATAGATTTGGGTTTGTATCCGATGTCTGTGCCCTTCCGTCATAGCACATCATATGAAATGCCCAGTTGCGGTTATCACGATTTCTGATCTTGACACCGCTCATCTGAGACTGGTCCCAACAAGACTGCTACACCATCGCCAACCACCAGAAGCCTGTCATGAGCCTCACGCGACTGGAGCCTTGGCTGACAACGAATACCTGGCCGCAAGTGATTGAGACGCAATCGCACGGCGCGGATGACGGGTTGAACCTTGACGGGGAGTGAAGGGGCATCATGCCGAAACATGATCACTGATCTTGGAAACAGTGACAGTGCATCTTGGAACAAAGGAAATCGGGACAGGGTACCAGCGATGCAGCCGGGTGGCTTCGGGAGTAGTCCATGCGGTCGGCGTTGACAGCACAAGCATAGCGGACTGCCTCGACGTGAGGGTACAGATCACCGACTTTGCTTCGTGTTGAAGTTGTCTCTGAGACCTCGAGATCACGGGTTGACTCGTGAGTCTTAGACCTTCCGACTCGGTAAAGCGCAAGTTGTCATGTCCAGTCCGTTTTGATCCCTTGCTGGTAGAGGCAAAGGCTGCCGGACAAGTTGGGACGGGAGGCCTTGTGTAGGATGATCGTGCGTATCTTGAAACACTCTGAAACAGGGTTGGACTTGTGGTAAAAGTATGAAGGCGGCTTCGATCGACTCGGTCCGGGCTGGAAAGCCGCCAGGTTTCTTTTTATTGAGATGGACTTCTTTGCTTTCGGCATCAACTTCGCCAGCGCTGTGCAAAGGTTCCAATGGTCAGCATGATTTTCTTGTTACTTACTTGCTGTTGCTCACTTTCGTGCACGATCCCTTGGTGAAAGCTAGACTGAGTCATGTCACTGTGTAATCGTGGTCAGGGTGAGAGATCCGACATTCGAGCTCGTTGAGCGCGTCCAGAACTCGTCAAAGACTGTACATACATCTGCTCTCCGAGAAAAGGCGCAATGCTTGGAAGTGTCCGATGGGGGATGCTCGGAAAGATGAGCTAGACAATCTGCAATGTTACAACTGATGCACCTTGGCTTCTGCCTCCACAGCCCACTTCCGAGCCAGACCGCCAATTCAGCAATCTCTTCAAAGAGCTTGTAGGGTAGAAGTTGGGCGGGCAGCAGTACTGTTGTATCCTGCAGACTCGCATCTCGTGCGCCGTGCTACTGGTGCACGACCGATATCAGCCAGGCAGCCGGTACTGTGTGTTCGCGCATGATCACGATTCAAGCCGTCTTCTTGCCGCCATGACATTTCCATATAGAGAGACACGAGTGCTCGACGTGGCTTGTATGATATAGCGTGCTCTTGTGATGTTCTCGCGGTGGTCGGACTTCGTGCAGCATGCTCCTCTATAACTACGTGCTGGGGGGTCCGGAGTGGAGTTGCACGACAGGCGCGACAGGACGAAAAGGCTGTAATGCTTCGATGTAGGTGACAATGTCGACTCCAACAAGATATCAGTGTATAGCCTAGTGGTAGGCTTTGTGTCGCAGAAGATTCGTGTTGTGTGAGCCAGTGAAAGGAGAGGACGTTCGAAGTGAGTGTTGGCTCCCACAGAAGCCGAAGACAAGCCGAGTGAGCTACCAACATCATCACCACTTTCTACCTCCTCTCCTTAAGAACACATGTGTGACACAACAATTTCCGTCGATTTCATATATTTCTCGTATAATGAAGTTCCCATGCCTCAGCCGGCATCGACATCGATTCACAGCTACATTAGCTCGAGGACGAAGAGCTCTTCTTTAGCATTTTACCGAGAAAGCCTTACCCTAGCTTCTGCAATATCACCCTTCTCCGAGCTGCCGAGCAGGGGCGTGCTTGCCAAAGCCTCGGCCATAAACTATATGGCTCTTACTTAGGCGTAGCGTTAGAACATTGCACTAAGACTAGTAACAAAGGAGAATTAGACAGAATCCGGGCAGATAAAAATAATGCCGGCAAAGATCTCTACCAAACGGGGAAGAACACGTAAGGCTATTAGGGGTAGAATCGCAATAAATATAGACAGGGCAGTCTATAGCTTAGCGGGACAGTTTCGCGAATAAAGATTAATTAAGGCAACTATAGATCCCCGTCTCTTCCCCGAGCCCTAGCTACCTACCCGAGCCCTAGTATAACCCGAGATTACGAGATCGGCTATTCTATATAAAATCGCGTATAGAAGCGATAATCGCGTCGCGGCAGGCCCCGCTAGCCGGGCAACTACTAGTCTACTACAATACTGCTACTAGCAGCTATAAAGCTAAAGTTTGTTAGTAAATTAGTAGTATAGCAAGATTAAAGGTATTATTAGTTATTAGCTATCTACTTAGGTCTAAGCGGATTGCGACCTACCGCCTTATAACTACGCGATATAGTATAGGCAGGCTTATAGTAGTCTCTTATTTACTAACTAGCCTACTACTATATATAATGCTACTACTAAGTAAACTAATAGTGCTATTACTATAGTATACTCTAATAAAGTAGCGCTATTACTAGACGCGCTATAGGCTATATAAGTAAGTACTATTATTACTACTAGTACTACTACTAAGTAGCTTATCGTCGTTATTGCTTATATAATGCCGCTTACTAGCGGCTATATTTAGCTTATTATCTCGCTCGTTATTCTTGTAAATAAAGTCGTTATTACTTACGTCTACGTAGGTCCTCTAGCTCTTAGTAGAGCTAATCTACCTTAGAAGGAGGCTCTAGCGCTACTAGAAGTAAAGACTTAGCTCGTAGATTATAGTACTCGAAACCGCTTAGGTAGTAGGTAGAGCTATACGGACGGTTAGCTTTCTAGTAAGGCTACTATTAAGTACAGCATTAGCTCTTAACGTACTTATAGTACTTAGCAACCGTCGTACGAAGCTAAGTAAGTAATACGCCTAGCTCTAGTACAAAGTCGACTATCCTAGCTATTACTATCTTCTACTTCTTAGTAACTATAGTAGTATTTAAGTCGTCTAATTCTTAGGCCGTTAAGGTACGCTTCGTAGAGTAAAGAGTAGCGCTACTAGTTATAGGCTTCTAGTTGCTAAATATAATCTCTAGCTCTCGTAGACGTAGTATTCTATAGAAGTCGATAAGCTAGTAGGCGTAGAAGTAGCTTAGTAATAGTATAGCTCGGCTTCTGCCTATCTCGAGAAGCTTTATAATATCGTATTAGTACGGATAACTATAGGTCTTACTAAGGTAGTCGTTATAGCGGCACTATAGATAGCTATACGAGAAGGCCGAGTGCTTAATCTTATTGCCCTTATCGTTAGTTATAGTCCTTATAAGCGTAACAGCTTATATATAAAGCGTCTTTACTTATAGTAGGCAATAGTCGTTTATAATGCGAAAGACACTCGCCTAGAAGGGTCTAATTAGTGCCTTATTATAGCGCTTTAGGTTCTCGGTAAGAGCGACTCGCTGTCGATCGTAGCCTTCTACCTACTAGTTAATTAGGCTCTTAAAGAGGGTAAATATATCGTAACGGCTACTATAGTTAAGCTACTATTTAATACGTGTGTACGTACCCTTAACTCGTAGCGTTGCCTTAGTACCGAAGTATAGAACTTCGTTAGTCTAGCAGTCGATAATACTACGTTTAAAGCGCTACTAATTAGTATATAGATAGACCTTAAATATAGGATATACGTTATCGAGCTTCTTTACGTTGCTATTAAACTCGTCTTCGGTTTAACTATAGATTGTATAAGTAAATAGCTATAAGAACTTGCTAGTTGCTAGACTATTAGTCTAGTAACTATTAGCTTTAACCTGTCCGAATTAGCCTCGTTCTTTACGTACTCGAGTTAGTACGTCTTGCTATAGATGCTACTCGTAGTATATATACTTAGCCTTAGGAATAACCTCTTTAATAGCTTAAATAAGTAACTCTTTACGATTAGTTACTATAACGATAGGTATAGTATAGCTAGCTTACTCGAGGCCCTTCTATACGGCTTTTAGTAACTATACGAAGTTAGCTTTGTTAGGCTTCGGTCTAATAAGGCTAATACCGAGCTTAATAGTATTATTTAGTAGACCTACGGCGATAATATCTAAGAGCTCGAGGTTATAGATATTAGTCGAATACGTCGTATCGATATAGATAGTATAAGGCGTAGATTTAAACGCCTAGAGCGACTAAGGGTAGAGGGCGACTATTAAGCGAATTAAGCCGTTCTAAGGGTTAGTATTAATCTCGTAGAATATGCCGTTCTTATCTAGTAAACTAAACTATTCGCTCTACCTAATTAAGCTTATAGTATATATTACTATTATGAGCCTATATAATATTATATAGATCTTATAGTTTAAGAACGATACCGTACCTACGGAAGTAGGCTATAATCTTAGACGTTAGAAGCCGAGCGTATTATAGTCGTTCTAACTCTTCGAGAAACTAGACTATTCTTAAGCGAGTCCTATACGTAGTAAGAGCTATACTATCGTCCTTTTTATAGTTATAATAGTAGTAACTATCTTTACTCGAATGCCGGATTTGCTACTAACTGTTAGGTTATACTAGATTAATAGCGACAGCGTAGAAGTAGAATCGATAACCTATCTTCTTCGAGCGCGACTTCTTTTTTATCGACTTATCGTCGTCCTTTTAGGTATACTTATCTAGCTGTCCGAAGTAACTACAGACCTACTAATAGCGATATTTAATACCGTTTTTGTTCTTCTACGGCTTATACTACTTAAACTTATACCCTATTATCTTGCTAAAGTTATAGATATAGGCCTCGAGCGCTTAATAAGATAGAAATTTATCCTCTCGTAGTATTAGACTACGGCGGCGCGCCTTCTTCGAGAATAGGTACTTCTTAGGGCGTAGCGATACTAATCTATTATTAGGTAACGATATACGCTCGCGAGGAAGGCTTAGTAAGCGACTATAGCCTCGAATACGTATCTCTAACTCTAGATTAGACCTCCTTCTACGACTTAATATCTACTACCGTCGATTGCGCGCCTTCTACTACCGCCGCTATCTCTTCTACTACTATATCTATCGATTACGTATCTTACGCCGCCGCTACCGCTACTACCGATTCTATTACGTCGTTACTACTACTAGCGATAAGATTATCGAGAAACTCGTCGTATAATAGAGATTTAGCTATTTTCGATAGTTACTAGGCAATCTACTATAAAAGGGGGAAGAAATATAAATTTTAGGTCTATAGTAGAATTGCTTCCTAGGTAACGCGCTACGCGCCTGTTAATAATACTAACTAGGAACGGAAATAGCCGGTATTAGGTGGAAAGAGCACGTAATTCTATATAGGCGCGATTCTATAATGGTGCTAGCATCGGGTTATGCTAGGGCTCGGGTGGGTAGTTGGGGCTCGGGGAAGAGACGGGGACTGTGAATCTCTTTTGGGGGTTTGCACCTGGACGGCACTTCAACCTTGGACCCTTGATATAGTTACTTCACCTTCGCAGTGGGAAACAGCATCGAGCCTCTGGGGCTTTGTTGTTGACAAGCCTCGAAGCATATTTCTGTGCAGTAAGCTTGTATTTTCCCCGACCATGTTGACATACGGTCACAGTCGACAGGCCAACCAACCAGAGCTTTGGCATCGCGTACTGCCCAGTGCCCCCAAGCAACGTTCGAGGCTTTCGATCGGATATTCTACTCCGGAACCAAATGCGTTGCGGCTTGAACATGGTTTTGAGTGGCCTTCGACTTCTCGCCCTTTGCCTCAGCGGTCGAAGCAGATCAGTACAAACGAAAGGTGAGACTGAGACGACAAGTACCTCACCAAGTATGGCATTACCATCCTGGAACAGCTTGAGTTCCCAGCAATAATCCTTCAAACAGTGCTACTTGAGCCCCAGGATAGTACAATGTTGGAGATCTAGGTACCAGGATCGATCTGCTGCAGGATAGACGCCTGATGAACGAACCACGAATTCGTGGTCGCATAAGTAATAACGGGCCATCGTTTCAACCCTGACGTGTCTCGCGAGGGACTTCAAAAGCATGGTACTCTGTCGCTTCTTCCTAGGAGTTACCGAAGCGCCTTTCATCCCTGCAGCTTTCTACCTCTTAGCCACATTCTACACTCGAAAGGAGCTCGCTCTGCGCGTAACACTGCTCCTCTGCGGAAGCGTTCTATCCACAGCTTTCGCGGGCTTAATCGCCCTCGGCTTCTTCAGAATGGAAGGTATCGCAGGACTCGAGGGGTGGAGGTGGATGTTCCTCATTCAAGGTCTCGTCACGTTCGTCGTTGCCATCGGGTCGGCGTTTACTCTGCCTAACGAGCCACGGGATACACGATGGCTTACTCCCGCCCAACGTCAGCTTGCGTTTGAACGGATTCAAAGGGATACTGTTGAGGCGGGACCTAATACGACTACTGTTCGTGGCTTGATTGATGCTGCCAAGGATAAGAAATTGTGGGTGTTTGTTTTCATGTTACATGCTGAGAAGGTTACGATTAGTTTTAAGAATTTCTTGCCGACTGTGAGTAAGAAGACATGATACTTGCATACGCTCTGGGCGGACTGGACTGGCTGATGAACATCGATTGTAGGTTGTCAAAACTCTAGGATTCTCACAGACTATCACCTTAGTCCTGACTTGTCCGCCCTACCTCGTAGCCACGGTCGTAATGTTATGCTGGTCAATGAGTTCCGGCAAGTTTAATGAGCGGACATGGCATATCTGTGTTGGCAAGATCATTGCTATATTTGGGTTTACTTTGGCGGCTAGCACGATGAATTCTGGGGCCAGATATTTTGCCATGATGTGTTTTGTCGGATCTATCAATGCCGTAGATGGGATACTCTTTGGCTGGGTACGTCCCTTACGACCTATGACCGATCTGTTGACTGATTTGGTGAGTGTAGATCGCTGTGACGTGTGGTCAAACGAGAGAGAAGAAGGCTTGCTCACTTGCGTTGGCGAATACGATCTCGACTGCGGCTATGATCTGGTCACCTGTAAGAACCTGCTTTCTGTGTGTGTCCAGGATCTCGCTGATGAAAGCGCAGTATCTTTACCATGACCCGCCTCGCTTTGTTACTCCCATGGCCACCAATGCTTGTCTATCGGTCGTTGTCGCACTTTGTGCATTGGTCATGAGGTGGATGCTACGGCGCGAGAACCGCAAGTTGCGAGAAATGAGTGCCGAGAAGACGCTCTTCTACGCTTATTAGTTCGGAAGCCTGGTACAGGTTATGAAAGCTACGATGGCATGAATTACGATCGTCACGATGTCCATGCCCTGTCCTTCTGCTCCGTGGCTCATGCAGTCTCCAGTCATCCATTCTCGACAACCTCTTCTGCCATGCGTATCTTTCACGACTGCGCAGTCGCCTCTGTCTTCTGATACGGCTTCACATCCACGCCTCTTTCTACTGGCAATACCGTAAAGTTGAACTTCCCCATTGTCAAACCATATCTGTCCAGAATTCGTGGCTCCCATTTATCTGAAAATCGTTCTTCCGTCAACATCGGCAGCAAGTCGTCCACGCGTCCGCCAAAGATTGTGAGCATCGTGGAAGAGCTGAAATCATTTTTGTTAGCCGTTGTCATTGGCAAATGCGAAGTCTGATTCGGAGACGTACTTTGCGCTTCCAAACATGTTATGGAAAAAGCTCTCCGAGTATTCCTTATTCGTCCTCCGTGCATCCGCCCTTCGCTTGGAAAGCGCTCTCGACAGATCGGCTTTGGTGAGCTGTGGGCGTCCATCGGGTGTCTTGCCGGTAGCTTCCTTGAGAAGATCATCCACGAGCTGTAAGTCTGGTTTGCCCTGGTCCGGCTGAAGCGCCAAATCGTGTCTCGTGAGGCTGGCATCGTGTTCAATAGCGTTGTCGGCATGTTTGCTCAGTTCTTCGAGGTCGAAACGATCATTCCAATAGGATTTGTTCAAGAAGTCTGACTTTTTAGCTGAGGCTTTTAAACTGTATGACGTGAGTAGGACTCACCAGCTGAGAACTTTGGCACGAAGAAGCAGAAGCTGGGAGCGAAGTTGAAGGTCTGGCGGACTTTGGCATTGAGTTCCTTGAAGCTGATGTTCTTGCCGTCGTGTGGCAAGATTCCATGATTCGCCATGGCGTTGAGCATTGGACAAGCTGATCGGGAGTCGCCAGGTCCTGGTGGCACGAATTCGCCAAATGATGTGAGATTGTGGCCTGGTGCACCTTCTGGGATGACATGTCCTTCCTTGAGCTTTGGCATAAGGAGATTGAGCACGACCAAGGCGTTATCATAGGTCATGACGCCGAGATTGATGAAGGCGCCCATCACTTTGTTAAATACGCCCATGATTGCGTCGTATCGTGATTTTCCTGCTCAGTCTGGTCGTGTGCTCGAGCAAGCTGATGGAGTCGACTTGAAGCTCAATGAGCTAGGTGGGTGGTCGGATGGAAAAGTTCATGACGGATGGCTGGCAATATTCATGAGGTCGATCACCCCTCCGCTGTGTGAGCTACAGCATGCGCGAGGTGCAGCCGTGGGCCGTAGCCAGTGTGGTTGAAAGTGTATGCACTTCAAGATAATGCGGCAGCATCGATTGGACGCGGATCTGCAGATTTGCAGATCTTAGCATGAATGTGAGGCGCTCAATTGCCAAGACAGGTTCCACTGGGTGCCCGAATAAGACAATGCAATGGACGAGATATCCGGGAATTTGGGAAGGGTGACTATGGCCTCTACATATACAGTATGCTGATGATAGAATCGTCAAGCTGCACATCCCTGTAGCGGACTGAGATGATGCTCAGCGACGAAGTACAGCAATGTAACTGACGGCTGTCGAAGAATAGGAAATAAGATTTTGTGGTCGCATTGTGGCATGGCACGTGCGTGTTGGCTGGTGGCACTACGTTGAAGAGTGAGTCTTGTGCTTGCACAACAACAGCACGTCGTGTGTCGGTGGCACCCTACGGCGTACAGTAGCAGAAGGCGCTCGATAGCTGCAAAGCGCTCAGCTTCATCTGCAAGCTGGTCGCTGATCTTTGTCAACGCCATGCGAAGCTCTATCTTCTGGCATCTCGCAGCAGTCTATGAACTTCGCCAGCAAGATAGAGACTGCCGCAGATGACAATGTGACTTCCAAGCTGCTGTTCCGCGCTCCTACACGCATGCTGGAGTGCCTTGGCGATATCCCTTCCATATGCGCGGCAAACATTGAGTTTTGTACCGGATTCTTCCGCAATGCGGATCACGTCTGTCGATAATCGTGGCTCAACCCATGGCATGCCAGCTACTGGACCGAACTCGACAGCTAGGATGCTATCTCCTGACCTCAAGAGTGGCTTTAGGATGTCTTCGACTTTGCGCTCTGGACTGTTTGAAATGGCTGTAACATATATGATAGGCTTCGACTGGTCGGCGCCCCGGAGGCTATCGACGACTTGCCCTAGCAGCTCAATCCCTTGCTGGTTGTGGGCACCATCGAGCAGGACTTCTCCAGTATAGCCTGTCAAAGCGGCAAGCGAGATCCGCTCCTGTCGACCCGGAAAGACATAATCTCGGACGACTGATTTCATCTCATCATGGAGGTGCTGAAGCTCTTTGTAATCGGTCGTGGTCTCCTCGGGAAGACGCTCGGGCACTCTTCCCAATCTCATCAAGGCAGTCCACGTGCAGACGAGGGCAATCTCGCCATTGTATTTTCGCCACGCCTCCAGCTTCGTGTTGTCGTGACCATCGATCTGTGGGAGCTGACGCTGGTGTGGAAGTATAATAGGTGCGCGCAGTTGCTGTGCGCGCTGGACAATGACATGGATGATTTCCGGTGCATCCTGCTGCTGATAATAGGTGAGAGGTACGCCAGGCTTGATGATGCCGGCCTTCTCAAACGCAATCTTGGCGTATGTATCACCGAGAAACTGCTGATGGTCCTTACCGATACGTGTTATGGCTGTCATGAGTGGAGCAGGTCTGTAAAGACTCGAGTCGATGTCTCTGCGCTCTTTGCCATGGGCAGCGAGAGTTGGCTGGCCGATTATATTGGTGGCATCTTCTCTGCCTCCCATACCAACCTCGACGACGCCAATATCGAGATGCGAGCGAGTAAAGCATTCGAAGGCTGTGGCAGTGAGGAGCTCAAATTCAGACGCATTGATGTTCTCCCTATGATTTCTGTGCCGCACCGCTTTCTCCGTTGCCAAAAAGACACTGGTGGGGATGACTTGCATCTGGTCAGCAACGTTCATCTGGATGCAGTCCCACCTGTCGATAAGGTGAGGGCTGGTAAAACGGCCATGGCGGATGCAGTCTTGCTTTCTGTGCTTGCGATGGCCGGATCGATTGTATGCATTCAGCATCTCGGAAATGTAGGAGCATACCGAGCCTTTGCCATTCGTGCCGGCGACGTGGATTGCGCGCCATGGCAATGGAGTATCACTGAGCAGCTTGGAGATGCGCTGCAGACCGAGCTCGATCATCGTGGCATGGCGGCGGCGGCGGCGGCAGCAGCGGCGACGGCGACGAGTGTCGACGTCTCCAGGGGGGGGGGGGCCAGAGTTCTCCTGTGTTGCCCCCCACACCAAAAAGCGGTCCTGGGAAAACTTGGCCGGAGTCCCTCCAACACATCTGCGTCGTGCGACGAATCTTGCCATTCTGGACGCGACGCAGGGAAGACTGCACGGACCGCGCTGCCGCCTGCGCTTGCCTGTCACCTCGTGGAGGGCTGGCTGGAGAAGGAGCACTTTGGTCACGTTACGCCGAAGTGAGCACGACCTTGCTAAGTTATCGCCGACGACAAAGCTCACCACCACCCCCCCCACCCCCCCTCACCCTCTTGCGCCTTCCATCTCCTCTCAGCCTGCTCGCGTGCTGCTGCTGGTAGCCGCCCGTCCTCCACTCTCTCCGCTCCGCCGCACCCAAAAATGGGTTTACCGTAAGCCCTCCCTTGAGAAACAGCGACGCTCAGCCGGCGCGCCGTGAAGAAAAGCGTGAAGCGCGCCATCCCCTCGGCAATGAGCCGCAAACAAAAAATACATCTACATTACACCCTAGGCTGACACGAACGTGCGCGAAGAATATGGCGCGATCCAGACGAGAAGAAATCGAGCAGCAGGAACGGGCCCAAGCCTGACCCGACTGCGTGTTTGCGCTCGTCCATCCGCAGGCGCCCTTCCATCCACGGCAATCGCAGAGGTCGTCGCGGTCCTCCGCTACCACGCGAGCCTTCAGTCCTCCCGCCGCGCTTCATGCGCTCTCCTCCTCCTCCACCCTCTGCCGGCTTCAATGGGTTGCGCGAACAGCGTCGTGGCGACGACAGAGGCGTACCATCAATCTCAAACCTCATAGAGGCTGCCGATAGGCAGCGCAGTACTCGATTGCCGCCACCTCCACCGCCACCAGTGCCAGAACCTCGCAGCTACTGGGAAGCGACTCGTGGAGCACCGGCGAGAATACATGCGCACAGTGCAGCAAGAGAGCAGCAAGAGCGCGAGCGCAATGAAAGACTGCGTGAAATCCGCAACCGCGCGCGCAGGGAAGAGCTGCACGGCTGGCGCGAAAGACCTAGCCACGGCTTGGAGCTGATTGATCTGAGCGAGGATGAGCATGGGGAGTCTGAGGAGAATCGTGCGTTGCGCCGCTCTCCCACTCCACCTGCCAATCGCGACGATCCGTCAGTCCCGATGCACACCATTCTTCTCAACCCTGGCGAGCCACTGCGTATCCTACAATCTCCCGAGCCCACGCGCAGTCGGAGGAGACCGGACTCGAGAGATGGGTCATCTGCGCGTCGAAGCACACTTCCCACACCACCTTTGGACACATCCGGGCCACAGGACAGCCTCTTCATCCTAGCGTCAGAAGCTGATGGTCCCCGCCCAGCTCTTAGACGAGCTCACCCTCTCAGTCACGCCTGGCGACCTGATTCCCCAGTAGATGGCCTTGTGGATCGCCAACGCAGTCCGGAGGCTAACAATGCTTGGGAGATCATGCAGACCACGATCACTCCGGACGAATCATTACCCAGCGCCGAGAGCAGCTTTACAAGTGCGGCAGCCAGCCATTCTTTCAATGCCTCTAGCAACAATACTCAAATGACCGATCAGGACAGCAGAGTAAATTCCGGTGATGACAGTGACTCCGGCTCTGAAGATGATATCTGTAATGACGTTGAAATGATCAATAGCGAAGCTGTCGCCGAGGATATGTACCATGGCGAGATGGGTACACTTGAGGGGCGCGAGAGAATAGCACGGCATCAGGACAACCGGCGACGGGAGGGCAATCGATTCGCTCTGGTGAACGAGCCGCCAAGTGTCGACATAGGCTTCAGACTCGTCGAGGAGGCACTGGAGACTCCAGAAGGTCGGGAACGGATCATGAGATTCCGTCGCGATGCTCCTGACGGGCCACAGCATTGGGAAGAAATGCTTGCGGCTTCTCAGAGAGTTAGGAACCGGTCTATCCGGCGCAGTCGACGTTCTGCAGGGAATCACATTCGCAGGGAAGGAAGCCCAGACGGGCCTATGGATGGATACATCACTCGACCGCGACCAGAATACGGCGAAGAGATACGCAACGTGGCTCGTGAAACATCTGATCAGGTTCACGACTACTTCCGCCGATACACGAGTTCAGCACTTGCGGATGGTGCGCAGTCATCCCGTCCTAGAGCTATCGACTTGCGCTCGCCGCCTCCAGAGTACGAAAGCGCGTCACAGGACGAGAATGCTATGGTTTCGCGTGATGGGCCTGTATCGCACCCAGTCAGTCCTCCCAGCCAGAGTAGTGAGCGTGAAGTATCGGAAGCTTTGCTCAGCGGCGATGTCCAAAGCAGTGACGTCCAAGACTTGGACTCCATGCGTCGCATCGTAGAGCGTCTCGCGGCTCGCGATGATGTTCCCGAGGATTGGTGGATGAGTATGGGACTGAACTTCTCTCGGGCGCGGCCGCAGGAAAGACGAAGACCCGGCACAGTCGTCGCAGGACCTGACGAGCCAACTTCACGAGTGCGTTCTGGAAGAGTGGACAGGCACGAGCGAGGAAACTCTAGGCTTTGAAGGTGGCGTTAGGCATGACGTATGATGTGTGATGAGTGTGATTATGTACTATTACGGTCGAAACGACAGGAGATTGGGGAGGGGGAGGGAGCAGCTGGGCGTGCTTGAATGATACCAAAAGCGAAAGGCGGGTTGAGGTCAGCTTGGTCTTACTTCGATGATGTCTTCTCCCTCACGATAAATGGAACGATTCTTCTTGCTGCCAGTTTGCTACGATGTCTCTACCCCTCTGCAGTGATGGAGGAGATTGCAGCACTCAAGCGTGACTTGTTTAGCTGGGGTCATGGCGATATGAAATTTCGAATCAGCAGCTCTGATATGCATGATTCCACTGGTTGCTTTGGATCAATTTCAACCGCGTGTGAATGGTTGTCACTCTGAGAACCTTTCGTCGAGTTGTTCTTCTCTTGGCGTCGACATGGAGCATCAAGTGAACAGCTGCAGCCAGCCGCTAGTCTCCGTTTTCTGTGAGCCAGTCGTGCTCTGCGCCGTGCAATTGCCGTTCCGAAGTCTGCGCCGCAGTTTCTATCCTGCAGTCCCGCCAAGCCTCGCACTCAGTCGAGCAATTTGCATCGCTTGCCCTGCACCGACTTCGAGACCTCTGCGACGAAGCAACCCATCCACCCAACGACCACAACAACACCGGTGAGTGCCTCCGAATCTTCCAACATCGACATCCACACGAGAGCCCTCGATCCGATCACACATGCACGATTCCCACACGAATTCCTCCGCAGCATCTCCGTTGCAGCCCGCTACAATTCGAGCGCAGAAAACCTCGAACCGGACTTCCACTGACATACATTCGCAGCAATCATGGGTAAGGGCAAGCCAAGAGGTCTTTTGGCCGCACGAAAGCTTCGCAACCACCGCCGTGAACAGCAGTGGGCCGATCTTCACTACAAGAAGCGACTGTTGGGTACCGCATACAAGTCCTCGCCATTCGGAGTACGTATCATCCACCACATCACATGGCCATTTCTGGGGAAGTAGCAGGATAAGGAGAGGAGAATCTGAGCGATTGCGCCATGGGATGGACTTGCGCGAACATGGGCTAACATCCATCAAGGGTTCTTCACACGCAAAGGGCATTGTCCTCGAAAAGGTCGGTGTTGAGGCCAAGCAGCCCAACTCCGCCATCCGGAAGTGTGTGCGTGTGCAGCTCATCAAGAACGGCAAGAAGGTCACTGCTTTCGGTACGAATACAACATTCCATCGGCACATCTGGGTCCCCACTAATTGCTTACCAGTGCCAAACGACGGTTGCTTGAACTTTGTGGATGAGAACGACGAGGTCCTGCTTGCTGGTTTCGGTCGCAAGGGCAAGGCCAAGGGTGATATTCCCGGTGTGCGATTCAAGGTCGTCAAGGTTTCTGGTGTCGGTCTCAGTGCTCTGTGGAAGGAGAAGAAGGAAAAGCCACGTTCGTAAACGTAACGACATATGATCATGCATGCAGGCGATGGGTTAAATCAACACGGCGTTTGAAGAGCGGCATCGTTCAGGTCGTCCATGGTGGCTATTACAACCGAAGCAGGACACTTTCACACATGAGAGCCGCATGAATGGGGCCATAGGGTTACTCTAGAGAGCAAGCACTACTACTGTGGAATGAGAAGTCTTGCGTTGGCCGACCGTCACGCGAGTCGTATAAAAGTCTGCACATGGCTGGCATCTTGGGCTGTGACATGCAAAGCAAAGGAAATCAAGTACCCACGTCATGTTTGCTCTTGACATATGCTTATAGAAGTCCGGCCAAGTCCTCTTCGGTACACTGCTGTACGAGCACGATCACTTTGCGCATCTCAGTCTCTCGGATGTCATTCGGCATGAACACTTTTGCCGTCTTTGCCGCGACAGGACTCCCACGTCCGCCCATATTCTACCAATCACTGCTGGCTGAAGAGGACTGAAGAGCGCATCATCGGCAGGCAAAACTGCTTCTGACCAGCGATAACCGATTCCGATGGCAGAGATGGCCAGTTTCGTCTTCTGAAAGTCCGATGTACAGCGGGTGTGATTGTTCTCTTAACCACCTAGGCTCGTTTCGTGAGCGCGAGCTTGGTTGGTAACCTCGGCCCTTGGTTTATCGAACATTAGCCCCAGCATCCCCGCCACTACTTTTGTTGCTGCGACAGTACGTGCTCGAGTCGACGGCACGTTCCCATAACTATACAATCTTCTCTGCCATTCCTCAACTGCTTATTTGCTTGAACTGAATAGCCACCTCACGTCCGCCTGATCGGAGCAAGAAACTCATCTTCGACACCATCTGATCTGACTGGAGAACAAACGTCAAGATGGCCGCCAAAGCAGCGAAGAACAAGCCACCGGTTTATGTGTGAGTCTCCCACAAGGCCTATGTCCATCCTGGGATGGCAATTTCTGACACTTTCCAGCCTTGGTGTGGGCATGACCAAATTCATCAAGCCCCGCGGCAAGGTCGACTACACTGAACTCGGGTTCGAAGCAGGCGTCAAAGCGATGATCGACGCACAAGTCAACTACGATGACATTAACGCAGGCGTCGCATGCTACTGCTACGGAGATTCAACCTGCGGCCAACGAGTCTTTTACCAATTCGGCATGACCCAGATCCCCATCTACAACGTCAACAACAACTGTTCCACCGGCTCAACAGGTCTCCACCTTGGACGAACCATGATCGCAGGCGGTATGGCCGACGCAGTCCTCGTTGTCGGGTTCGAAAAGATGAACCCAGGCTCCCTCCAATCCTACTTCCTCGACCGTGCCAACCCAACCGGGACCACAGGCCAAATGATGATGGCCACCCGCGGCCGCACCAACGCTCCCGAAGCCGCCCAACTCTTCGGCAACGCAGGACGAGAATACAAAGAGAAATTCGGCGCCAAAAACGAAGACTTCGCAGAAATCGGCCGCATCAACCACGAACACTCCAAACGCAACCCCTACTCCCAATTCATGCAAGAATACACCCTCGAAGAAATCATGAAGTCCCCTATGATCCACGAACCTTTGACCAAACTCCAATGCTGCCCCACCTCCGACGGCGGCGCAGCCGCAGTCCTCGTCTCCCAAGCCTTCCTCGACGCCCGCCCTCATCTAAAAGACCAAGCCATCCTCATCGCAGGCCAAACCCTCGCAACAGACTCTCCATCCCTCTTCTCCCGCTCCTCAATCGACCTCATGGGCTTCGACATGACCCGCTACGCCGCTCGCACAGCCATGGAAGAAGCCGGCGTCCAACCCTCCGACGTAAAAGTCTGCGAACTCCA